AGCTAGGGGAAGCTTCTCTGACGACCAGACAGGGCTTCGAGTTAAGAAGCTGTTGATCTTGGGGTAGAGCGGATGCAGAGGGCTCTTCAAGACGTCTAGAGCATGGATGGAGAAGGCGATAAATGCCGATGGAACGGGACCGCTGTCGACATGTGGCCGGGAAGACTCTGCCAGCTCAGACAGGAGCAACCAGAATTGCTTCTTCTCTTCGTATGCCGATTCATCAATCTTGGCGGCCATCTTGAGGATATTGGTAAGTGCCTCTTTGCGGATATTGGTGTGTTCTGATGCGAGGAGGCGAATCAAGCTTGCAATTAAGCCATCTTCGACCAGATCCTCGACACCCTTGGCGTGCCATCTGAGGAGCACCGCTGTATCCTCTGGGCTTGAGAACGGAATATGTAGCGCTTCCTCTAGCTTTCCCTCGTCCACGGTTGTCTGCTTTTCTTCATCATTTTGGTCTTCTCCTTCCTGGTCGTCGTTTTCATCCTCCTGGCTGCCGCTGGTTAAGGATTTTGATATTTTTCGTTTCCCTAGACCTGCAAGCTTCACAGAGCGTGAAGCAAAGGACTCTTCGATTCTGCTGTAGACGCGTTTGAGGGCATCGCTTCCTTTTTTCTTGTACATGGCGCTAAAGTATAGTGATATGAAATCAGATAGCGAAGAGAGCCCCTGGGTATCAGCGGTCTCCATAATAAAAGGAAGCTGCTCAGCTATGGCAACGGCAAGTAAATTGAAGCTACGGTCTTCAGCTGTTGCTTGTATGTCGACATTCTCATTGGCGAGATAGGTCTGGAGTACATCAAGATACTTGATTGGCGAAGTGGCGCAGCGACTAAGGCAATTATCCAAGAAAGGCCAAACTTTATCCATGTCGCCTGAGCCATTTTCATGTATGCTCATTGTAAGGGCTTGAAGGAAGGGTTTTAGTCTGGTAGCAGCGGAAACAAGCTGGTTTTCCACCGCAACATCTGCAAGTACCTTTTTGAGCTGATGAAGGGGGGCAGTTCGATCGCTGCTGGAAAGAAGTTTAAGAAGCGCGGTAAAAGGCGAACACGGACCTTTGCCGCTGATGATTTCGATTCTTGAAAACCATCTCATGCCAGGAGAGTAGCCAGCAATCGACACCAAGTTTTCTAGCTCCATCTCGCGGAATCCATCGTGCTGATGATCGGAACTTTCATCTTGTAGGCTTCGTAGAACGCTAACGAAGAAAGGCGAGACGTCAAAATTCGCAGCCAGTGCAACTTGCGGAATTATCTCATAATACAGGAGAAGCAGCTTGCTGGCCATTGTTTTGTGCAGCGCATTCTCACTGGGAATGCTTTTATAACTTCGTACAATCTCCTTCATGTCTGGAATGCGCCTGCAGAAAGCATCAATTAATCTTCGCGCTGCTTCAGACCATTGTGCGTCTGTTGCTCGAAAGGCTTCTTCGTGCAGTTTGATGGCTATTGAAAGCTTCTCCAGCGCTTCAATCAGCATTCTTGTCGCAAAAAAGGATGTCAAGTTCGAATTTGGCGATAGACACCGGATTATGACTTTTTGATTCAATGGAAGCGGCAAAATGTTATCCAAAAGAATCTGTGTGGGCGGAGGACCACGAGAAAAGCGCGTTTTGTCACCAAATGAGGGGGGAAGCGGGATTCTCATTGTATCGAATAGGAAGGATGCATAACCGATCCAAGTCATTGTCAATTTCGGCTCAAAAGTGAAAGACTGGTTGTTGAGAAAATAGTTTGCTATTAATTCCGGAGCGGCCTCGAAGATTGCTGTGAGTAACTGGCTGTGCTTCATGCTGGACCAGGGACGCAATTTTGCAGCAAATTCAGACAAGACAAAGTTGTAAACGGGGACTCCATCACGATATGTATCATCCTTGCCTACGCTTCCGTGTGCTGAGCCTTTCTGCTTGGCAAGCTGGACTGAGAACTCCTCGTCCGTCTCTTTGGGATATAGGCCTGTGGATGGGTACAAGATGCCCGCGCTCGGCTTCGTACAGACATACATGAGGAACTGGTGAGCTTTCTCGCTCACTCGCTCAACCTCGCTCTCTGACTCTGTACTATTGGTATAGGTATACAGAGCCAGAACTCGCATTAGAGTCTTGGTGTTGAAGCATTTGAACTTGACTTCTCGGGAAATCTTGCTGTCTGCTAAAACATGAGTTTTTAAGGTGTCCAAGATCTCCAAGACAAGAGATGGAGGATCGCTCTTGATCATGAATGTCAAATGCGAAAACAATTCCTTCTGAGAGAGGAGCTCTTTCCGACCATCCGATTGTAGGTACCTAAGACAGCCTAAGAAGAACCGAACAGCGTTTGTTCTCACGGATGCCTTGCCGGAGTCCCCTTGATTGTCGCCAGCAATACCAATCTCCAGGTTTCTACCCAGAGACGCGAAGGTATATGTTCTGGCGCGGACTATCTTCCTTGCGTAGGCACCTCCGTCCAGGCTCACAGCTTCTCGAAGCAGGCGCAAAGTTGGAGATATAATGAAGCTTTTCGTCTTGTCTGAAGATAGATTTTTCGATATTGACTTGAGTTGGCGATCCTGGACAAGCGTCTGGCAGATACCAAGACCATGCTTGACCAGGTCTAACGAATCGGAGACGATATTTAGCACAAGCGCCAAGACAACGGCTGCAGAGGACATGACGCCGCCTTCGTTCACTTGGGCAGCAAAAGACCACATCTCCATGATATCACCCAGGAAGACGGCATCTTCGTCGTCGTGCCTTGGCTTCACTAGTTCGAAGTACTCCCGTAGAATGCCGAGACTCGTAGATCGATCGTCATCGCCGGAAATGATTTTATCAAGGAGCCTTTTGAAGGATTGAAGACCTAATTAACGATATTTAGCTTCGTGAGAACCCAGAATTGCCCTATGCTCCGTAGAATTGACATTCAGCTCACCATGTCTTGCTCGGCGCATGTCTTGGTCAAACGCGAGTAGGCGCTGGAGCTGTTCCCCGGTGTTCACATCCTCGCCGGTGGGAACATCGTGTGTAATTTTCTGGCGCTTCCGAAAAGCGGCAGCTCCGTCAGCGTCCACAGATGTTCGTTTCCCCATCTTGAAAGGCCCTCTGCGGATTCGTCCAACATCAACTGCAGAGTGCTTCCATTGCTAGAAGTCTCAGATATTTTGAGATACTGCCGGGGTTGACCGCCTCGCTACCTTCCAGGATAGGCAAGCCTAGCAGTGTTATCTCATTCTTCTAGCGATATCGGCTATACTCCGGATATATTTTCCACCACAAACACAACTCCATCTCCACACACAGCTCTGCTACTTTGGCACCGCCCGCACTTCATTCTTGGCACTACAATCTCACCCGTGCACTGGCACTTCTAACGGCGTCTCCACCCGCGAGCTATAAAAAACAGCGACAACAGGGCACTTATACTGATATGTCCGGCCTGGCATAGGTGCGCTTCCTCCGGAAAGTGTGGAAGAAACTGAGACATGCATGATGGCCTCGCTCGTATCCTCAGTTTCTGTTGGCGAACATGATGTCTTATGGGCCGCTCAGACCTCTCTGCCTACGCCACCGGCCGCAGCAGAATCGTACTACTAATGCTAATACAACCCATCTCTTCCATTGGGTGTCAGGTGGTTTCTGGCCCCGGACCTTGAGTCAAGTCTTGAAGCCGTCCACGCCATATGTTGCGTGCCTGGTTTTTCCCATGTCATCATGGCCGACCAGATCATCACCACGCGATGCTAAAGATAGATACCACTTTCTGAGAATATGGAGGACCTCTCGTTTTAGGACTCGCGACAACAATGTGTCAGCTCTGGAACTATTCGTTTTTGTGACAGCCAACCGTCATTGATCTGCTCGGGTGGTTAAAAGAAATTAAGTGAGGATCCAGTTGGATGAGGAGCGCGCGCCAACAGTGCTGAAATGGCCCAAAGAAGCAAAACATCAATCCCAATACGGGGAGGTTTGCCTTCGTGGCGCCGAACCAAGTTTCGCAACAGGCCTGGGCACGTTTCTGTTTTCACAACACGCAGTATTTGACCTCTTCTTTTGTTTCCCCTTTGCTGCCATGCCGCCACCGCCGAAACAGAAAAGCGTTGTCTGTCAGGGCTGTATCTCGTCGCCAGGGGTGCCCGGCCAAGCTGGCATGGTGGCGGGCCAATGCCAGCAGCCCACGAGACCCCTCCTCGGGGCCTCAGTAGCAGAGCCACGATAGCATCAGTTGCCAGGTGTGGCGGATGCAAGACATCGACTCGCTGTGCCAGCCCGGCCGTCTGACGCCGTTTGTGGATCCTGCAATCTTGTGGGTAGCGCCAGCCATCCGAATCCAGCGTTCTACGCGCCGACTGGACGGTCTCATTTGTGGCCCAGCCTATCACCGTCCCGGGCCTGCTGGCTCACCATCAACGCTGCTCAGCCGCCACTTATTGGGTCATCCAGAGTGTGAAGGTGTTCTTGGTAGCTGTAAACCGGCAAACAATGGCTCCAGTTCCCTGGTCAAGTGAGCCTGCGCTATTGCAGATGCGAAGTAGTATTTACGAGCCCGCCCGGCCCTCGTCTTTTACTTTCTATCTTGGGCGCCGGATCTACTTTTTTTTTTATGTCATCGACTCGCTGGACGGTCTTTCATTCGCTTTTCTATCGTACTTAAAGTTATATGCCGGCCCAGTCGGCATGAAGCTGCTTTTTACTCCCCATTATGAAAGTTTCGTCGGGTGTTCTTGGTGAAGCATATGCGTCATGCTTCTCTTGCCTCACGTGTTGGGAACCGTTGGCTTTTCGCATCGATGAGAGATCTGAGCCCCGTATGTCATTTTTTTTTCTCCGAGCCTTCTTGGATTATCGCCCCCTCTTACGATTATGAGATGCTGGAGCAGTTTGTAAGGTTTCATTGACTGATTAAGCACCAGGCGATAACCAACGTGCATTGCCCATTATATACGACCAACCAACATCTCATCCGCTCCCAATGGCAGTATCGGAGGCTGCGCCTCCCCGACCAAGTTGGAAGCACAAAATGCAAAAGACTTTTAAATCAAATCAAATGAATTCCTCAACAAAGGGCAGAGCGCAAGCAAACGGCCCACGGCCTCGGTTACAGATTTCAGCGCCGTTTGAATTCCGCCATGTCGAGTCTGGTTCATTTCAGTTCCCATTCCCTCCTCAACGGCCATCTCGTCCCTGGGAGAGTCCTGTGACACCGGATACGCCTGAGACTCCCTTTGAACCGCTTCATTTAAACATTTCAAATTCAGGAAAAGAACTGTCCCCAATACTTCCGGACTTTCCCCTTTCTCGTGAGATGACGCCGCCACCTTTAGTTCATCTTGCAGGCCGGCCCTACGATGAGCATTCGCCATCTCCGAAGAGAAATCACTCATCCACGGCATTCCATATTCCTCGGAAAAATGTTGCCACCGGTTCATTCTCAAGCAGCCCAGAGGTTTCACCACTGAAACTCGCTTCCGAGAAACAGCCTAGTGTTCGGGATTATACGCCATCTGATATGGAGGCTATCAAAGAGCGTGTGGCGTGCGCCATGAATGAAGTGGAAGAGTTACAGAAAAAAATCAACGACATTATTGAGCGCCAAAGCATCTACACTGCAAGCAGACCATCGACAGCTCATTCGATTGCTCGTACAGTGCCTGGTAAGCTTACAAATGGACCCCTTCGTGGTAGACTTTCCCAGCTTACCCATGCAGATGCAGCAGAGGTTCCGATAATTCCTGCTCTACCGCCAGCAGCGCCGTCATTCGCTGAGCGCCTGAACACTGAAGTGTCGCTGCCCAACACCGGGCCCATTACAGCATCCATCCACATCAGCCAGCTAGAGGCGTATGAGGAAACGCTCGACAACATTAGGCAGTTGTCACAAATAATGCCGATGCAAGAAGAGCGGTCACCCCCACCGCCTCCACCCCCACTGCCGCTCGTCCTACGGCCACCGCTGCGGAAGAAGAAGTCATTTTCACGAGTTTCCACCTGGCTGTTCCCAGAACCTGGGCGTGCTAGGAATCAGAGCATGGACTCTATTACGAACGCTCCTCTCCCTATCAAAGGAAGCGAAGGGTTTTATCAGTGTGTAACGCCTGCCGGAAGACCGGATAGGCGAAGCATCGAGACATTTGATACACTTTCTACATGGTCGACGAACGACGGAGACCAAAGCGTGCCGACGGCCTGGTCGCCGCGGAGCACTCCAACAAGGAAGGAGGAAGATGGTTTACTGGAAAGAAGCGCCACATTTGGGAAAAGCAGCATCCGGGGGCCAGCTGCGGTGAATGTTGGCGTTGCAATATGACAGCGGATCCCGCACATACAAGTACATGCGCGACGACGTTACTAATGTATATACCACCACCATACAGCTCATGTGCTGGACAACATATGATAGACCACGAGGAATGATTGGAGGGTAACAAATGAGGGCAGACCTGGTATAGGCTGGACTGGTGTTAACTTGGGGCAGAATAGAACGGGATGGGCCTAATGCGCTCATCAATGATACCACTAGAAGTGAAAACTGACGGATGCAGCTGAGCGACATCCTTGCTTTTTGGCTAGGCGTTTAGGAGAAGGAACAAACATAAGGAGCTAGTATTGCTCTGTTATAGAATAGGTGATACTACTACGTAGTATTAGTATACATGCCGAATTGAACATGCAATTAATAGAGGATAGTGAGATATTCTATTGATGGTGCATTGGAAGAGCTGTTATTGCAGTATTTGCTATCCCGTCTTTCACAAACGCTAGACACTTCGCATGACATTCCAAGCGGCTCACGCTCCCCCAAGTTGGAGTGCTCGGCGCTGCCTTGTGCTCTAATGCGCTGCACAGGCTCCTTTCTGAGACATGCCTGACTTGGACAGACACTTTTTTTCACTCTTCGCTCAGGCACACCAAAGATGCTCGAAGCGCCTCCTGCAGGAACAAGTATCTGACTAATTCTAGGATGGACGCTGAAATGAGTACGGTTCACGGTCATTGGCCATGGCGCTTTACATAAGCCACGCGTGTTTTTAGGCGTGCGCCACCAAAGCTTGGCCACTGAAGCTCAGTGAGTTCTAGAAAAGCTTCAATTGCACAAAACGATGAGCGAGTTCTAATCATTACGAGTCACGCTCTATTTCATTCCTTTTCTTCTTTCCACGTTTCTCGTTTTCCTTTCTTTTTTCTTTTCTATTCTGGAGTCTGAATAAGCGAATCTGGTCACAAGCCTTTCCCTGCTTTGGACACGCTCTGTCGTTGGGCTCCTACTGAGCAAGCCAAGATAAGATACGCTTTGGCGTTCTGTTGAATTCACTCTTTTGGCGTCGTCTCTCACCGCTGCGTTGCAGCATAGAACTCCACAGCCATGTCGTTCTCCAGGATATTGGCCTCTATCAAAGGCGCTGTGTCGCGGGACACATACAAGTACAGTGCTATTCCAGAGCAGTTGAGTCGACGGCCATCGAGTCGACGACAGCGTAGCAGCGAATCTGCCGCTTTAGCAGCATCGTCACAGGGCCGAGAAAAGTTGATCAAGATGTCACTTGGAGGAATGGCCCTTTTCGCCATATTATTGACCACGGTCTCACTTGGGTAGGTAAAGTCGCAGGGCTAGGAAAAGAAGCAAGGATAGGAGGCCGTCTGCGAAGAAGAGCTAACATGATATCACCGAAAGGCGATTCAACTCGGGCTCGGCTTGCGAGTTGGTTGGAAACTGTACGACAGATGTGTCGCATATTTGGGGCCAGTACTCGCCAGTCTTCTCGGTCCCGTCAACCATCGATGCAGCAGTTCCGCAGGAGTGTAATGTGACTTTTGCGCAGATTTTATCGCGGCATGGAGCGCGAGCACCGACTAAGAACAAGTCGGATGTCTACAAAGCTATGATCGAACGCATCCAAAGCTCTGTGAAGGAGTACGGCAAAGGATACGAATTCCTCAAAGACTACGACTACAACCTTGGCGCTGATGATCTCACGCCGTTTGGGGAACAGCAGCTGGTTGACTCTGGAATCGCCTTTTACAAGCGCTACCAAGGCTTGGCATCTGAATCTGACCCGTTCGTTAGAACAGCAGGATCTGACCGAGTGATTGTATCGGGCCAGCGGTTCGTTGAGGGGTACTATAAAACCCAAGGTCGCGATGCTTTCAGCCCAACGAAGGGCATCCTTGTGCTTCCCGAAGACTATGGATTCAACAACAGCCTAAATCATGGAGCCTGCCCGGCATTTGAAGATGGACCGATATCCGAGATTCGCGATCAAAACCAGAAAACTTGGCTGGGAGTCTTTGGACCTGCGATTAATCGGAGGCTCAACAACAAACTGCCAGGCGCAAACCTGACCCTGACCGAGACGATCTTTATGATGGACTTGTGCCCCTTTAACACGGTAGCAACCACAACTGCTGCGCTATCCGACTTTTGCAGGCTCTTCTCGATAGATGAGTGGGCCAGCTACGACTACTTTCAATCATTGGATAAATGGTACGGCTATGGGCGAGGCAATCCGTTGGGCCCATCCCAGGGTGTCGGATTTGGCAACGAACTGATTGCCCGGCTCACTGGCACGCCTGTGGACGACCGCACGACAACAAACTCAACGCTCGACTCTTCTCCCGTAACCTTCCCTCTGAACAGGACGCTGTACGCGGACTTTTCTCACGACAACACAATGTCATCCATATTTGCTGCGCTGGGGCTGTTCAACGCAACAATGGACCTACCGCTCAAGTACAAAGTATCACCTCGACGCCTCCACGGCTTTTCGGCCGCTTGGGCGGTCCCGTTCGCTGCCCGCTTATATGTAGAGAAGATGCAGTGCGGCGACTCAAGCGAGGAGCTAGTGCGAGTGATTCTCAACGACCGGGTGGTTCCTTTGCGGACGTGCAACCCTGATAGGCTGGGGCGGTGTAAGCTGAGAGGCTTTGTTGATAGCCTCAAGTTCATAAGGAGCGGGGGGCTGTGGGATCAGTGCCCTTTGACGGCTGATGTTTGAATGTGTGAGCGGTTGAAGCGCTCCTCTTTCGTACGAACTTTTTCTATTGAAATGCTTTTTGTGGATTTATTTGAATTTTGGCGTGCGTTTATACCACATCAGCAGATGATTATGAGGGATTACCACTTGCTAGAGTCAGTGAAGAAACGTTGAAACTCTACAGGCTAGAGGATAAAGTAGTAGAAAGTGCTCTCTACAAAACAGATCGCATAAGACTAGATACAGTAAGAAGATTCTCACAGGGCTGATACGTCTGTATGAATTGCTTCTCTGAGGCCTCGAGTATTTAAGTGAGCCGCTTGGGCTATTAATAGCACCCGAGCTCGCACCAATGGCTGCCGCTTACCTGAGGCATTGTTTCGCACCATCTCCTTAACGCGTATAGAAGGATGGGAAACTGAGGTTTTACGAACTTTTACGAGCCAGTAGAGACAATTATAGCGATGATGACGGAGCGTTAGTCCCCTAACGAGCAGGGGCTCCCTGCGTATTTTAGGCGCAGGTACCGAGCCCAGATGCTCTACAGGGTTCTTGTCCATTCGTAGCCCCGATAAGGCCGGGCAGGTGTTTCTCTCCAGCACAAAAGCACTAAGCGGCCTAAAGCGGTAGCTCGACGTCAGCACTTCTCCAAACCAGTTCCAAGCTACGAACCTACTCAGTTCAGATCCAAAAAAACATTTGCGCACGGCGTTGGAAAATAACAATTACCAAATGGTTGGGACTGTGCGGACCCGAGAATCGTTGCATCTACTGAGTTGATCGTTTCGCGCTGCGTCTATTTTCTGAGCCATCTCGTGGGACGACGAGCAAAGACCCAAAGCTAGCAGACCATGGTTTCGACCGCAGGAGGCATCGTCATCGCGGTTGTGGTGATTCTAGTGGCGGCGGCCATTGGATGGGTTGTGTTTTCGCAACTGCGAGCGCGCAGACTAGGAGTGAGTTTTTTCCTACTTTCCCTTCTCATTCTTCTTACCGCTTTGCTTTTCCCGTGCTTGGAGAGACAGGCGATGATCCGACGGCGCATGGCAGTCTTCGGCAGCATCGCAAAGCCTCTTCGGGAGCGACGGCAGAGCAACGACACCGCAGCGACGAAATGACCCTGGCTGACAACAATGGCAATCTCACAGCTCCCGCCTCCCAGCTTATCGTCATACCTACCATGGCGTAAACCAGACACGCCGTACGGCCCCCCGAAGCCGGCTCGCGGCGGCGTCGTCGGATGGTTCAACGACATTGTGCGCAAGTTCAAGCATCGCAACGACCGGTCAGCAGCCGGCGCCTACGAGCAGTCTGGCCCTCGAGGCAACCGCGGCTTTGGGCCTCTGGACCCGGACGATGCGTGGGACGCGAGAGTCGGCAACGAGGCGGATGGATACGGCTACTACGAGCAGGAGCTGGGAGGACACACCGAGTACACGGGCGCGAGCTACGACAGCGGCCATCTCGGTTCAGTGCCCGCCGCGCATGTGGGCTACGACGAAGACGTGGAGCGAGGCCGACGGCCCAGTCGAGATGCTGGAGCTGCCACGGCCGCAACAGCAGCGTCGCAGAGAAACCCTTTCGATGACGATGCGCAGACGAGCCTCAGGGGCGTCAGTCCTCGGCCGATGGATGCGGCGGGAGGAGCGGCGCACAAGACGGGCGAACGACCGGGAAGTTCTGGCAGTAGCTTTGCCGAGCGGAGGTCAATATTCAGAGAAGACGTTTAAAGAGAAATGCGGTCGATGGAGGAAGTGAGGTTGGGCACGGTGGGTGTTAGATAAGAAATGGGAAGGGGAAGCAGAGAGACATGATGGACGAAAAGAAGGCTGCACAGCTTTCTATGAAGAAAACCTTGATTTATTTTTGCTAAGGATACGGTGCCTCGGTGGCTTTTTACTCTTTTTCCGCCTTTTTTTTTTTTTTTTTTAATGTCTTTATGTTTCTCTTTTTTTAAAGTGGGAAAAGCTGGAAACAGGTTTGCATCACAACATACATCCACTTATGTACTGTACCCAAGGTAGGAAAGCTTTGTTGTTTTCATTGCGGGATGAGAGGATGGAAATGAATTACGCTTTTTTGCTTTCTTCTCGGGGGGGCTTGGCTTAGTGATGGAGTCTTTTATCTACGAATGGTAACTGATAGTGAAGATGGATACACGAACTTCATAATGACTTTTTCCCCAGATTTTGCATGCTGCTGGTAGATTGCGGTAAACAGAGAACGCTGCTTTCTGTAGCCAAAACTCGTATCAGCCATCAAGCTACGCCAGCCAAGAAAAGCCCCACGTTGTACGTATTTTTGCCCCTCCAGTTTCCACAGCGCAGCGGGTTTAGAGGCCCCTCCTTAGGTAGTAGGTAGCTGGCCATTTCGATCCTCTCATCTCACTTTCATTGCTTGATATTCTATCATTCGCTCTTGACTCAGTTGCGGCCAATTGATAGTCGTGAGAAAAAAGGGGAAACGACATTCCATTCCGAAATCAGAATTACGAAGAAGAGAAAGAGACAGAGGAAGTACTGCAATGGCGGACATCAACCTCCAAGCTGTTCATGATGAACTGGTCCTCGTGGCGTATGAGGCCGGACGCATGATTCTATCCGCCAACCCAGCAGATATTGGAACAGGGACGAAACTCAACTGTACGTGATGGGAAAATCATCTTTATTTCCGTGTTGCTATTCATTGTTACACTATGATATATGCATTGGGCCAATGAGCTGACGTACTTGCAGCCGTGGACATTGTCACAGAAGTCGACCAGGCCGTCGAGAAAATGGTCTCGTCGCGCCTCTCAACGGCCTACCCCGAGTTTTCCTTCATGGGCGAGGAGACTTACAAGCCTGGGACTAAGCTTGGCCCTGAGCCGACATTTGTCGTTGACCCCATTGATGGTGAGTTCTCATCTCATTTCACTTGGCTTTCACCTCGATTACAGCACTTCTCCCCTGTTTTCCTATCATAATTAGCAGCATCATAAATGATATTGTATTGTACTTATACTTCCCCCTTTCCCCAGGAACCACAAACTTCATCCATTCCTTCCCCAACGCCTGCATCTCCCTCGGCCTCGCCATCAACCGCGAGCCCGTCATCGGCGTCATCTACAACCCCTACCAAGACCTGCTCTTCACAGCCATAAAGTCCCACGGCGCCTACATGACCCGCATCAAGGGCTCAACCCCCCAGAAGCTGCCCCTCGCCACGAGCCCCCGTCCCATCGAAGGCCTCGCCAACGCCCTCATCGCCATCGAATGGGGCTCCAACCGCGACGGGCCAAACTACGAGCTCAAGACGGAGGTGTTCAAGAAGCTCGCCGCCACCAAGGAGACGGGCGGCGCCATGGTGCATTCGCTCAGGTCGCTGGGCTCTGCGGCGCTCAACATTGCTGCGGTGGCGGCGGGCCAGATGGATGCCTACTGGGAGGGCGGATGCTGGGCGTGGGACGTCTGCGCTGGATGGTGCATTCTCAAGGAGGCTGGGGGTATCATGGCTGGAGGAAACCCTGGACAGTGGGATCCAGCGGTGGATGAGAGAAAGTATCTTGCTGTGAGGGGGGCGCCGAGCGGGCAGAAGGAGCTTGTGGAGGAGTTTTGGGGGGTTATTGGTGATGGGGCGATGGATTACTCTGTGTGAGAAGAGATGGGAATTTGAAGTTGGTCGGTATTTACCTGACATATAAAACTTGGGTATATATTCAGGGGAAGATACTGAGAGGGAAACGGATGGCAACTAGACAAGCATGAGATAAAGATTGCTTATAGAATATGATATTGCCTTGCTTCATTCTCTAACTTTTCATTACATTATATGCTTGTATACTATCAATCATTTTGAAATACTTCTTAACACTCGTTTCTCATGCTTGCTTCATGAAAAAAATGCAGCTTTTCCCAAACCTTTTAGTAATTCATCCACCTCGTATCAACAACCATCTCCCCCCTTCTATTAGATACTCATATAACTTACTCTTTCCACTTCACTGCGCAAACTTGCTCATAGCCCTCAACTTGGGGCCATAAAACCACAAAAAGATGGGGCTCGGCCACCCAATCCCAATCGCAACCGCAGCCAGCACCGTCCCGCCAATGCCATATCCAAGCTTGTTATACATTGCCGGCGCAAACAGCGGGAACCCAAAGCCCGCCAGACTCCGCAGCACAGTCACGGCGCTGATGGCGCTGGCCGCGTACCGCGTGTACGAGTCCACTATGTATCCCTGGGTGCATTGGAAGCCGATGATGATGCTGGCGCCGAACACCACGGCGCCAATGTTGGGCCCGATCCAGTGCGTGTGCGCCTCTGCGGTCCAGCTGTAGATGAGGATGCCAATGGGCAATAGGATGGCGCCGGGGATGAGCATCGGCACGCGGAACTCAGGCCGGCCGGGCCCGCCGTCGGGGACGTAGCGGCGCTTGAGGGCGGCGTAGATGCGGTCCTGCAGCGGCGCGCAGATCTGGGCCCCCAGGAAGAAGCCGAGGCCGAGGGAGATGTAGTTGAGGCCTGCGATGCCGGGGCTCTCGTGGTACTCGTTGGCCCAGAGCGAGGCAAAGGTCGAGAGGACCAGGTACGTCACGCCGTAGAGGAACATCATGTACAGCGACATGATCTGCACAATAGGCTGCGTGACCAACAGGCGGAACGGCCGAGTCAGCGCCGTCGTCAGCGTCTGAAATACAGTCCGATCTGGGCGATCGTATTCAGTCACGAGATTCGTGTTGCCCGTCTCCTTCATCAGCGCCTTCTTCTTGCGCTGCAGCAGCACCGGCGCGTACGTCTCCTGCAGGAAGAAGACGCCCGCCGTCTGGATCACGCCGCACGCAATCGTCGTGCTGTAGAAGACCCATCGCCACGTCGTCCGGTCCGTCACCCAGCCGCCGGCAATCGGGCCCAGCGCCGGGCCCAGCAGCGGCATCAGCGAGTAGATGCTCATGGCCTTGCCCCTCTGCTCGGCGTTGAATAGGTCGCCCAGCACGCCGCCGCCAATGGCCAGGGGCGCGGATCCTCCGATGCCCGCGAGGAAGCGGAAGACGAACATCTGCGCCTCGGTCCGGGCGAGGCCGCAGCCCAGGTTGAAGAGCAGGAACCACAGGTTGGAGATTTGCAGGATGATGGTGCGGCCGTAGAGCTCTGAGAGGGGTCCCCACATCAGGGGCCCGAGGGCGTAGGCGGCGACGAAGATGGAGAGCACGAGGGCGCTTTCGATTTCCTCGGTGATGTGCAGGTCTTTGCTGATTTGGGGGAGGCCGGGGGCCACCATGGATGAGGCAACGGGAGAGATGAGGGTGAAGCAGGAGACTATAACAACGTTAGTTTTCTCTCTCTTTTACTTGGGTATTTATGAGCTTCATTGTATATTCTGATATTAGTAGCTGCGAAACATAGGCAACTTACCGCAGAAGACTGCCGCCCACTTCCTCTTGAGCAGCCAGTTCTTTGGATTCTCCGGGTCATCAGGTCCCGTCCACTTCACCACATTCGGGTCGTCGATTCTGACCGTGGGCGTCTTCTCAATAGCATCGTCCCCTCGCTCCAGATCCCTCTGATTCGCAATGCCATCTCGCACCTCGGACACTGTTCGGGATATCGACACGCCCGGAGCACTTCGTTCAGAGGCATCAATGGTTGAGGAGTTGTCCGAGTCGGAGAGCGTTGTTGAGTACTCGTGCTTCTCGTGGTCCAAGTTATGGCCTCTTGCTTCTTCTTCATCTTTGCTGTGGCGACGAGGTGCTGAGGTGATGTCCTCTGACTTGCGTTCTGGAGTAGTTCCCGACATTCTCATAAACTTTTTCATCCAAATGCCGATCTTTATAAGCAGTGTGAGCTGGAACAGTGACTTTTCATGTTATTGGGCCTTTAACGTCGTTCTCTTTTAATTAAAAGAACAATAATCCGTTGTGACAAATCATCCAGCCACGGAAAGAAGTACAACAGCTCAAAACGCCTCTCCCACCGCAAACGGAAATCTTGGGTCGCAAACGTGAAGCAACGCCGCTTGTTATACTGTTCAACTATACAAAAAGGAAAACAGAGTCCCAAAAAGAGCACGCGACACCAAGTAGAATCGATACCAATCTCGAAAACTCGATGACGTTTTGTTGTAAGTCGAATGAAATGGGCGTAGGCCTCCAACTAAATAAAAAAAAAACCAGAAACAAGATCGCAGGAAAAAAAAAAAAGAGTACCAACAAGGAATACAGCCTCATCGCAAAACAGGGCACGGGATCCGGGAATTTCTGTTACATAGCTGGAATCCACATCTCCTTTCTCTTCCAGCAAAATGCCCGCCGACACTTGACCGCACGGCAGCTTCATCCGATCGAAACTGGAGATCGGGATGCCGCCTTTTTTGCCAACCATCGCCGATACGGCACCGATGATAGAGGCCGGAAGGCGAATAAAAAGACGAGAATACTTCCCCAGTTACCTATTTGGTAGCCTCGGCCGACCTCCGTAGTTTAAAAGGCAACAAAGGTCCCGGCTTTAAAGGGGACCGCAACGGTTTTTGCTGGGTCTTGTGCGTGAAAATGCCCACGGAAACTCCGCTGCGAAAGTCGCTTAGCAATGCGCACCGTCATACGCTTCCTATCTGGGCTAAAACCGCTAATCACGCGCAGATACGAGTGACACGAAGAAGTGATAAGAAGGCGAGGAAGAGAGCGCCATCGCATCCATGCAACAGGGCGAAGCAGAATCAAGGCAAGAAAATAAGCATCGCAAAGATCATCATCGTCCGAACCTACGGTCTTATGTCTGCTTGTGGTAGATAGGTTCAAGCTTGCGGAAACTTTAAAGTAAACGCCTAAAGCTACCGGATTTAGTGAGCGGCCTCTGTTAGCTGCGCGGTTCCATGGCAATGGCTGTCATGTTTCGTTTTTTCCAACTTTGCCTCAACAAGGGAGGGGGGTTCAGCAAACACTGCCTCTGCATGGCTTCTGAAATCTGAAATAAAATGGAGAGATCCTAGGATCTTGCAATCTGATTTTCAACAGCTTGCCGACAGCGGATGACCAGATTGGCTGACTCACTCATTCGTGATGACCGTGGGATCGAAAACTACAGGGATATAGCGAGACCAACACAACACGACATATTTTGACAGTAAGCCATATTGGGCACAGAGTGTCGATGGATTCTCTTGTTCGAAATAACCTGTCGTCACGGAGAAAACAAAAGGCTCAACGCATAATGAAACGAGAAAGTGCAGCTTTAATATGTTTGCTGCTATGGATTGACCAACTATCTCAGTCAAAAACCCACTCTGTTGGTGGAAAACCGTGCCCATGAAATCGATACATACTCGATACCCGAAACAAACTGGAATATTTTCGCAATATTAAACCCATAAATTGTTGATTTGGGTAACCCGGAGCCAGATGCAGATAACCCTAACTCGTGCATGGCTGGTCTGATGAATGAACACACTCAGGCCAAGTGCTATCCAGCACCTCTAGCCTGGGCTGAGGAAAAGGCGAATTGAAACTCTGTCTACCCTCGACAGCCTATTCACTCGTCCTTGGTATCAACCTTCTTGGCCGCTGGTGCGGCAGCAGCGTCGTCCTCGCGGGGTCTCTTCTGGTTGGTTGCGGCAGCATCCACGGGTTTCCTAGTCAGTGCGTTAGTGTTGCCCATTTCAAACTTCAAACTTCCTGATAGCAGTTGGGGTTGCTTACTCTTGTCTGTTTGAGTCGCGGTCGCGACGTCCACCATCACGGCCACCCCGACCTCGTCCACCACGGCCACGGCCACGACCTCCACGACCGCCTCTGAAGCCGCTCTTCTGGTCCTGGTCTCGTCGCTTCTTCCAGTCATCCTTATCTCCAGAGCGAGTGTTCTTCTTGCCGAAATCACGGCCTTCGTAGAACTTCTTTTGTGTCGTAGCACTTGGGACAAGTTTTCCTTGCTTGATGAGATCGCTCTTCTCCTCGCAGTAATCATGCTTAGACATGATCTTCAGGTCGTGCTCCTTCCACTTGGGAGCAGGGTCCAAGGCAAGGAAGTTCTTGGCTGTTTCCTCATCGGCAAAGGTAACGAAGACAGAACCTTTGAATAGGCTCTCGTTGGTACGGCGAAGCTTCAAGCCGTTGACCTCGCCAAACTGGGTAAAGAAGCTTTCGAGCTCGAATTGAGTGTCCGGCTGCTCGTCTCCAAACCCCTTCACATAGACAGTGGCAGCCTCGGCCTTGGCCTTGGAGGCGGGGACAGGCTTGTAGGGGACCTTGCGTTTGACCACCTCTTTGCCTTCCTCCCCAGAGACTTCAAGGAACTTGCTCTCCTTGAGAGCAGCAACGACAGCACTGTAAGGTTGGAAAATTCGCATACGTTTAAATGAGTGTATCTTCTCGATCGGCATCGGTTTGTTCTCTGAGCCTCCGCAAGTCTCCCACATGAATTTGTCTTGAGGAAAGTTCCAGTCGCCAAAGTAAAACTCAACCTGTTTTTGCACCCTCCAATTAGTAAGAGCGGTTTTCTTCCTGACTTTTGTTTGATTGGGCTTTCATTACCTGTTTTCTGATTTCCTCGGGCTCATCAGCCACCTTGCGGGCAGTGGCATCGAACTTGCGATTATTTTGTAGGTTTTCGCGGTCAATCTTAGCCGTCGTCTTCAGAATGTTGGGGCCATCTTTCTTCTCAGTCTCGGCCACCTCAGGCTGCTCAGCCGCAGCTTGTTCCTCGACGGGAGCGATGGGAGTTTCCTCAGCAGGAGTTTCCTCAACGGGAGCGACAGCCTCGGTAGGGTTCTGTACAGCCTCTGATTCGCTCATGATGGATATCTGAGGATGAGATGTGGAAGAAGAGAAGTGGTTGCAATTGAGAAAGGATTCGCGATCGAGGGAGAAATAAGGCGATATGCTGGCAAATCTGCTGAAGCGAGAAGAAGTGAGTAACTCTGGCAACCCACTGGAGAGAGGGCAAGCAGCAAGTAATAGAAGATTGCTCGCAGTTGACAAGCTGTGTTACCGCCAAAAGAAATCAATCGCTGACTCACCTTTATGTGATATGACTTGTCACCTACAAGAAAATTTCTGAAAAGAGAAAGACTGCGGTGGCTGGTGTCCCAGAGGCTGATAAATGGAGGTTGGAGATGCAGCGATTCCGTCGCGAAGGAAAAAAAAAAAGTTATTTGGGGCGCAAAAATATGCGAGATCTGCTGTGCTCCACTAAAAAGGCGGCAACCCCACCACCTGCCCATCCACTAAGAGGTACCTGCTGGCAACTCGGAACGAGCCGCTATCTGATATGTGTTGTGTGCGATAATCAGCCAGCTGCGAAATTTGGGGGCTTGTGCTTAAAGGTACACTCGAGGTACTCATGGAGTGCTGACTACGGGGGTAAGAGCACTGGCAACTTTTGAATTGGCTGGTAGGCGCGCGACTCACATGCAATCCAGAGATGAACGCAAGCAAGCTGATAGAAAGCTGCAAAAGACCGGTATCTTGTCAATCTTTATTCAGTAGTATGCAACCAGTGATTGCAAAATAGTTTCAGAATTCCCATTATGAATTGAAATTGGTCAAGACTGGAAGCTTAGAGAACAGCCACATGTGTACCATGCCCGGTGCCTTTGAGATGCGTCACTAATCCTGGCCAAAGAGTCATTGTCCGTCTTCTACTAGGCTGCCATGGCCTAGTAGGCAGTACGAGCCTGGGCAAATTCCTCTTCCCTTTCCAATGTCAAGGTTACCAAAAGAGAGAAAGATAAGTGAGCTGCTGTGAGTGTCTGGCGAGAAGATAAGAGAGCAGGAAAAACCAGTAGGTCCATTTAGCCCCATCTATGGCGGTAGCTTCCACATGCTAAACTGCTGGCTGCATTACAGTGGCGGTCCTTATAAGAAAACCGAGCTACTTTCGCATTGACGTAACATCTACGCCAACGAAGGTAGCGCTGCCTTCAGTGATTTTGTCCCATCACGCGATAAATTTGATTTGATATATGATTGCATTTGCGACAATTGCATTCTGTTGTGCCAACCCATTCGCCTCCACAGCCCGCAAGCAATGAAGATTTCATAAGCTGAGCACGTCTGATTTCGAGGCGAATGTTGTTGTCTTTTTATCGGCAATTTGGCTAGTTGGAGCTGTTGTGCGTTGAGCAGAGCCTCAACAAATAACGCCGCCATGAGGTATCCCGCGAAATTACCAAGGCCGTTGATATCCCTCAACACGTGCCTACGAGCCACAAATCGTCCGCCAGCATATCTTGCCCAATTAGACCGCGGCTTCTTCACACAATCAAAACGTCAGTTGAAACGCCAACAACGTACAAGCACACCTGCTGTCGTACTCTCTGTCGGACTCTTCATTTGGTGGCTCTACCCATCAGAAGAGTTTGCAAGCTTGTCTGAGACGCAAAAGGCTGATAGAAACAAACAAGGGAGACGAGATGGCGGCGTTGATGAGTCCAGCAAGCTCGTCACTGAAAAATCGGACAAGGGTGCATGGGCTTACTTTGCCCGGCAGTTCGAGTTTCTATCTGCCACGGCTGAGCTTGAATGGGCCAGCTTGTCGGACAGATTGGTTGATGCTATTCTTCCCGAATGGTCAAAGAACATACCCATGTACGTGAGGAAGCTCCAGAAGGAGCTATCAGTCTCTCCAGGATCGTTGGCAGATGAGATATGGCAAGAGGCTCATGACCCCTTGGTCAATCGCGAGATTCAATATTCCGCCAATGTGCGCGTCTCGGAGGAACTATGTGACGAGGAGAAAGAATATCTTTTAAGGCGGAAAATTGTCACCCGAGCAGCTCTGGCAAGCTACCTTGGACTCAAGGAAAAGGACATCAACCCTGACGATGTGCCTACCATTGCCATGTGCGGATCGGGAGGGGGCTTGCGCGCATTAATAGCAGGGAGCGGCTCCATGTATGCAACAGAGGAGGATGGACTATTTGACTGCGTCACTTATACCGCTGGTGTCAGTGGTTCCTGTTGGCTCCAGCTACTCTACCTCTCCTCATTCGCAAAAGGAAGTGTTGGCTCTCTCATACAGCACTTGAAAGCAAGATCATCTATCCACATAGCATATCCACCTACTGCCTTCCAATCTCTCACGTCTTTGCCGACAAACAAATACTTGCTGAGCGGATTGGTGGAGAAGTTGAAAGGAGATCCCAACGCCGACTTTGGGCTTGTCGATATATATGGACTTCTACTAGGCGCTAGATATCTGGTTCCAAGGGGTGAGCTGGGTGTCGATGCTAGAGATTTCAAATTGTCAAATCAGCGCATGTATTTACGACAAGGACAACATCCATTGCCCATATACACAGCAGTACGTCACGAAATCCCGGCAGCAGAGGCAACGGCCTCTCGAGACCCCGATTCATTGCCTACGGTGGAGGATATGAAGAAAGAGCCTTACTTTCAGTGGTTTGAAATCACCCCTTACGAGTTTTTCTGCGAGGAATTTTCCGCCGGGATACCGACGTGGGCCCTTGGCAGACGCTTTTTCGATGGCAAAGATGTGCCACCTGAGAATCAGTTTCATCTACCCGAGATCAGAACTCCTCTTCTGATGGGCATTTTTGGGAGCGCGTTTTGCGCAACTCTTAGCCACTACTATCGCGAGATTAGACCGCTTCTTAGAACGATTACTGGCTTTCAAACGATAGATCAGCTGGTCTCGGTACGGGACGACGACCTGAGCAAGGTACATCCCATAGATCCCGCCATCATTCCCAATTTTGCATACCAAATGTACGGAAAGCTGCCCAAGTCAACGCCGCCGAGTATCTTGGATGGAGAGTATATCCATCTTATGGATGCGGGTATGTCGAACAACTTGCCCATATACCCATTGCTACGGCCGGGTCGGAATGTCGACATCTTAGTCGCGTTTGATGCCTCTGCTGACATCAAAACTGACAATTGGCTTTCTGTGGCGGATGGCTTCGCCCGGCAACGAGGTATCAAGGGATGGCCGGTGGGAATAGGCTGGCCAAAGGATGAGACACCAGAGCAAACAAAAAAGGAATTGACTGAAGCCCAGGCTGCGACACCCGCCGAAGCAGAACAAAAAGTAGAAGAAGCCCAAGCTAAACAAAAGGATCTCCGCGAGGCTGCATCAAAGCAGGATGCCACCAAGCCGTCACAACAGGACGCGAAATTCAAGTTTAAGCCAGGCAACGAAAAAGCTGGGGAGCTCGGCTACTGTACTGTATGGGTAGGGACAACAGAAGAACGGTCTACGGACTCCCCGCCCATCACAAAGCCCGTCACTGATGATACCTCATGGCAATTGATGGAGCCTGATGCAGGTCTTGCTGTCGTCTACCTGCCTCTTCTCTCCAACGACAAGGTTCCCGGCGTCTCTCCTGGCACTTCGGACTTTTTGAGCACTTGGAATTTTGTCTACACCCCTGACCAGATAGACAGCGTCGTTAAGCTCGCCCGAGCCAATTATGACGAGGGCAAGGATCAGATCAAGGCCACCGTGCGTGCCGTATACGAGCGCAAAAAGCAGATGCGCGAGCAGGCCGAGACGCAGCGCCGACTTGACAGCTACACTGCCATGGCCAAAAAGGGTGAGGAATCTCTTCTTCATCACGGAGACCAATTCAGCTAGATCAAAGAGATAGCTCTCCCTCTTCTCTCCTTCTTTCCATAGCCTTCTAGCCTTCAGGAAAGCTCCTATTCTGGCTTGTATATCATACTGTATTATCCTTTTTCTTCGGATTTCATGTTATTTTCGCTGTTGGTTTCTCGTGCAAGAAAAGTTTCCAACTTATTTTTACAATATGCTTTGTATTATACAGTGGGGGAGGGCCTTTTTTCTAATAACCCAAGCCTACACGTCCCTACTTCATAAACCCAACCGTCACTCCCCCGTGCCTTCTCTTTTACCTCATTCAGTTCGTACACATATATATATACCTGAGATCCAGCCCAACCGGATATTTTTTTTAGTAACATTATTGCCACCATAGAGTAAAACAGCGCTTTATCCGCTTAGATGATTTCACCAATGTCGATGTGTGGCGCTGTCCAAGGTCTGGCGCCCTCTTCCATCATGTCGCTGGGCACTCGTACTTTGTTTCCTGGGCTGTACAGGTACCAGGCTTTGAGTGATGCCATGGAGGCCTTCCGGCGAGCTACATCCAAGCTAGGGCCGGCGCCTTCTCCGAGCTTCTCCTTGCCGCTGTAGATACCCACCACGTAAACGGGTGTGCGAGACAGTCGACCAGTCTCACTCTCCAATCGCGCAACGGGGGCCTCAAAGCCCTCTCGGGCACACAGCATGGCCAATTCGCGGGTTGGCAGTTTGAACTCAAAGAGTTTGGAAGGGTCGAGTTCTCGGGATAAGATGTGTGATTTGACAAAAGACTTGACCTCCTCACGGCCGCAGTGGGTATAAATGGCACCAATGACGGCCCGAACAACGGAACCAAACGCCTCGCTCTGAAGACCGCTGTACTCGAGCTTCTCGGGCTCGGAGCTGCTGACCTGGTCGCCAAAGTCGTCGTCCAGGACCACGCGGCTACTCAGTCCTCGTCTCCAGGGCTGTCCCTTGGCTGCTTCCGCACGGATATAGCCCCATCGTGTGTTGATCATCTGCTCATCGCTCGTCTTCCACTGCAGCAGACCGGAATCGACCTCCTCGCCGGGTGCAGCTGCAGACTCCACGCCCCACCTTCGAGCGATTTGCTGCAGGGACGCATCACCGGCATATGCTCTCAGAGCCTCGTATAGGATGGCCATGGGCAGGCGGGGCCACTTGCAGACAAGATACTCGTAGACATGGTAGTTGATGATTGTGCTTCCCAGGTACGCGAGGTTCGAGTTGTTGAAGTTGGGGTTGGCGTCGGCGGACGGCGTTACCAGGGCCCTCGCCAGGGTCTGGAGAGGGATCTTTCTGGGGAGGGAGAGTCGCGCGTGTAGGGCGGCGAGCTTGGCAGACTGCGCAGCACGGTCGAATGAGGGTGCGGGGAGGGGGGTTCGCTGTGAGTCGAGGTCTGGAGAGTCGTTGGCAGTGGCGGCTGGAGAGGTGGATTGGCACCGGACGGCGAGGAAGAGAGGCTGTCTAGTTGCTGCAATGCGGGCTCCGCAGCGAGCCTGGAGCAATTGGCCGCTCCATCGTGAAGGTCGTATCCTCTTCATGTGGTCGTGGTGGGGGAGAGATGTATATATATGTAAGATGGACGATGGTATGAAAGAAAAAAAAAAATTCCCCTCCAATGCCCCTCGAGGTCACGAATTGGGACGAGGACACCAGGTATAGCAACGCAAAAATAGAGCTAGAAAAAGGGGAAAAGAAGAATTACAAGGAAAAAGTGGTCGAAGTTGAGGCAGGGATCAGACGGTTTTCGCTGTCCCGGAGTGCCTTTGTCGGGAAAAGTTCTCTGCGTTCGATTTTGTCCAAAAAGTCGTGTGAGCCGTTTTGCCCACTCTCTGCTTTTTCGCAAGTTTCGGCGGGCGCACTACGGGCGGAATTACTTCGGGCCGGCGTCATTTCGCTGGCGCTGGTGCTGGCGGGCGGGAACTCTCTCGACGCTTCGCCTTTGACAGAGGCAGTCTTTTGCGAAACTGCTCGACTATCTGCTTCAATTGCGCACCAAGAGACTCTAAACAGACGTCTTTTGATACATACTCAAGATGGTAAGTTGACGAACAAGTCGAATCTTTGCTGAGATATGGGGTTAACCAAAGTACTAGGGTGGTGGTGCCAAAGTCCCGTAAGTTATGCCTCGAAACCGAAAAGACGAATTTTTGACCGTTTGAAATCGCGACGACTCACACGATATAGCTACCCCAAGCACGTCTGGTCGCCTGCTGGTGGTTGGTACGCTCAGCCTGCCAACTGGCGCGCCAACACGCTCATTGCCGGAGCCACCATGTTCGGCATTGTCGCCATTGTGTGGAAGTTCAGCGCCGACCGGGAAAGATGGGCGCACAAGCCAGAGCCGTGGGAATGGCACCCTAGCCGATAGTATGTGGTGTTTTGAATGCTGTGGGGAGGGGTTACGATCTTGCTAACGTGAAGTTTCTTTGATAGCTGGTCAAAGCAGTTGATTGAGTGGGACAAGGAGGATAAGCTGAAGGGGTCGAAGGAGTAAGGTTATTTGGGAAGAATTAATAGACGAACACTGTACAAATGCCATACGAACGAAAACAAATTTGAAGACAAGAAAAAAAAACACATGAAGCTACGATGCTCAGCGACCCCCTTTTGGAAAGTCTCTTTTGTTTCTATGTTACGGAATCGAAGCTTGGATCATGCGGACATACAATGTGATTGAATAGCCAGGGATCGAACTTACGGGAGGAGAAGCCAGCCTAGCAATCACCTGATATCACATATCAACACCCTTGAGTTGCTCTCACTGCATCGTCTTAGCTATCGCTTTGTTCGCTTCGGGTACCATCGACCTAACGGCATTCAAGTAGATTCTCGAGGCTGGGCAACATTACGGGCAGAATGACTAACAACAGCCTGACAGAAGTGCCATGCCATGTATCGGTATGAATTGGGAGCCTGAGGAAATGCGCTGAGTTCTCAATTTACGATTCATGCCTTAAACATGGTGCATTTGCCCGAGATTCGATATGTGAGAGCTCGAATGAATGAATGATGATGCTGCAATTTGATAGGCTCATCCAGGATTTTTCAACCCATTGACAGCGTATTTATAGCTTGGGCCGTAACAATAGTGATTCTAGTTGAGAGTACTGCACCTCAGCCTTATTCGGGTCTTGTAAGCCTAAGACTCTAATCAAGACGAGGACCAACAGGGTAGCTCTGTGTCGGAAGGCCGTTTTCTACGTGCTTCCACAGGCCCCGACTAATTCCACACCTGCATACATTTCTGCAGGGGGATAAATGCAAAGCAGACATGAGACGCCTAACAGAAGTGATATTCGGTCATCATGATACACGGACTTTACTCCGCACATCTAGCGTCGTAAAGTTGTGATGCGGCCAGAGCCGTTAGATACCAGTACTTGGACAACTTGTATAGATGACTTCCATACAACAGCTCAGAATGCTACCTTGACGAGAGCTCAGAAGACAGTCACATATTCGCTGCACGAGGATCCAATGATCCTACAAGAGGGGTAGTACTGCATTCTGCACGAAAACACAAGAAAAGTAAAGTAGAAGATAGATGGGCAAATAGAAAAGAGGCAAGGAGGAACAAGGCATTCTTATCGGAGTCTGGGGACGGCAATGATAATCTGCCTTGGCTGCTTGTGCCTAACTACGGCCATAAGACGGCTGGCTGATACATTCAAACAAACAGAAAGGCTGCATGCCATGCATATGCGGTGCGTGTCGTTCCCATCCAGCCTTTCAGTTGATCCTATGATGGCCTGTAGTTACAATGCCCTCTGCAGCCTAAACAGTTGAAGTTATAGAGCGGGCGGGCAGCTTCGCCGAGACTCCAGTACATCATCGGGCCTAATAAACGCACCTACTATCCGGTACCTGTGTCACAGCTCCCTGGGCCACTAAGGCGCCGCCATTCACTGACTCAACGAGCCTAGCCCAGGGTCCCAATAATCGCTGACAAAAACGTCACTCGCCTACCTCTTGATCATGTATCAAACATGATGTTGCACAAATACAATTAACCACCACTAGCATCTCGTGCCGCCAGCCCGTTTTTCAATATTGCTCTTTGCCTAATAATCTCCTCCTTTGGCGCACTCTGTCTTTTTCTTCTCTTCCTCATCACTTTGCGGCGCCTTATTTTCTTCCTTGGACAACCACCGTCACCGACAAGCTGGGGGCGACTTTTGAATTACGCTTCCTCCTCTCTTGAGCCCTCGGGGTCCTAGTATTTATCATTTCGCACGCCGCTTGCTGGTCCTTTCCTCCGGTTGCTTATCGCGTTCGCCCGGTACAATCTCCATCGCCATCTTCTTGCCTGTTGACGAAACGCCACCGAGTGATTTTGTTTGACGACCCTTTTCTTCCCTAATCTCTCTCTTTCGAGTGCGGTGGATTTTACCCGCTCCATCTCTCTGGCTGATACCAGCCGAGCGATCTCCGACATCGTTCTTTGGCCCATAGAAGGAACAAATGGCCTCTCCAGGTCACCCAAATGGGCACCTTGAAGCGACTGCCAGTCGTGAGGTAGTCTACTGCCATGCCTGTTCTAATGAATGGCATCGCGCGGACCACGGATTAGTATGCCCCGATTGCAGCAGCGAGGCCACGGAAATCGTAGGTTTTCTCCCCTGTCTTCTATTCTACTGATCTTATCTTGGCTAACACATCATATAGATAAGCTCAGATAGCGATCCTCGAGACTTTAATGACGGCTCGGCGTCGACATCACCCGAACTTCATGACCCATACCATTTCCACCACGAACATGACCACGACCACGACCACGACCACGACCACGACCACGACCACGACCACGACCACGACCACGATCATGGTGACGAACATGACCACGGCCATGATTCAGACCCCGACGAAGCTGATATAGAAGAACACATGGGCCCACATGGCTTTCATTACCGCCGCAGTGTTAGGGATCGACCAGGCTTTCCTCATCATGAACCCGATGTCGACCCGGTATTTGAACGCTTTATTGGCTTGATACACGATTTGTCACCACCACCACCGCCGCGCAGAACAGGAGGGCCTGGCATGTTTCAGCAACAACGAGGAGGCGAGGAGGGTCGATTTGGAGGCCCGCAAATCCATCGCGCTACATTCACGAACGGCAGTGGCAGTGCGTCTGTCACCATTTTCTCTGGGCCATCTTCGGGATTTTTTTCCTCGGGGGGGTCCCCTCCATACGACCACCATGGCGATCCGTTTCAAGCGTAAGTTGAACCACTACTATACGGCGAGCTACACGAGCTAATTTCTCTTTGCTCTATATACAGATTCTTTAACAACGTTCTGCGCGATGCGGCGCCTCCAGGAGGTGGTCGGGAGGCAGGGGGCGGCCACTCTCCAGGATTTGCGCGAGGACTACAGGAGATTTTGAATCTATTCAATCCGGCACACGCCATCTCAGGAGACGCCGTCTATTCTCAGGAAGCTTTGGACCAAATCATCACAAACCTTATGGAAGCGCATCCGCAATCAAACGCTGCACCGCCAGCGTCGACCGAAGCGCTTGCTAATCTGAGCCGACGACCTGTGGACGCTTCAATGTTGGATGGTGACTCAAAAACCGAATGCACCATCTGTATTGATGATATGAAGGTGGGTGACTTGGCCGCCTTCCTACCTTGTAAACACTGGTTTCACGAAGCATGCGTCGTTTTATGGCTCAAGGAACACAACACATGCCCGGTTTGCCGAGCGTCTATTGAAAAGAGTGGCGACGACAACAGCGGTATAAATGCAAACGGAAGTGCAAATGCACCCGGCCCTAGTGCATCAGGGCCATCACAACCGGATGATCAATCTGGGATTGGGCTGGACCGTAGCGGCCCGCTTCCAATCCCTGGCCCCCGACCATCCCAGCTCTCTCGGCCTCCAAGTCAAAGCCAGAGCCGGCTGAATGAGGCCATGCGAAGCATCTCATCGAGACAGCAGGAGCGGCAACAGCAACAAGAGCGTGAGCGTGAGAGGCATCGTGTCTGGGGTGTCTCGTCTCCAGCAGAGCGTCAGCGAGACGAAAGAGAGCGAGAAAGATCTCGGATATGGGGCGTACGGTCTTCATCAGGCTATGATACTTCACGAATGCAGCGCCGAAGCTCACGAAACTCTCTTTCCCCAACGAGCCCTAGAATGACTGTTGCGGATTACAGAGAGCGTCAGAGACAGGACAGTCCGCCACAAAACAGCCGCCGAGACGGAGATAACGCTGATACTGGTCGACAATCTGCTACCTCTGGAGCTCTAAACTGGCTTCGGGATAGATTTACCGGCGGAGGTTCAAGAGACGACTCCAACCGCGATGACCGTTGATATTGCTCATCCTTCTGCGCAAAACTTCATCCATCAGCAGCCTACAGCTGGAGTTCAGTGGTTCTATACTAGCTGTAAAGTTAGTTAGTATTGTACCCCCACATGTCTTCACCGACAAGGGTTGATGAGATGGACCAGCAGAGATTAGGATGAAGAAGGAAAATAACAACTAATAAACAAAGAGCAAGTAAAAAAAAACTTGAAATAAGGTTTCAAAATGACTGGTTTCACCGCACGTAGGTTTGCGGCGCAGATCGAATAATGACATGACGATAGAAGGCTATACACGACTCTGGAGATAAGATGCATGTAGCTCGCACGCAATGTATGAGGCCACCTTCAGCTGCTTACCTTCAAGGCGGCATTACAAAAGGGAGAGGCGCAAGGCTCTGGTGCATTTTTTTGCTTGTTACTTATGTTGGTTGTGGTTCACAGTAAATGGGCAATGGGGTCTGCCCATTTTGGTTGAGGATGCTTTGACTGGCAGGGGGCCGTGGCTTTTTGCCGTCTGCTTTGTATGCGAACTTGTACATTATCAATCGGTACTATAACTATCTTTAAATAACGAAGACTTGCTCTATCAAGTCCGTGAACTTCGACATACAAGGGCCAATGAAGCGTTTATTGTAAACCGAGGGGTAAGGACGTTCTAAAATGCAAATTTAGAGTACCGTAAGTAGCTGATGTTCGAACCTCATGACTAGAAGGTTGAGTTGTGGCAATGGCCAACTCGCTGAAGATCAACGAGATAAAGAATTATTTAGTCCGCGGAACAAAGGGGCGCAGCCGGGGTTCGGGGCTTGTCAAGAGTGGCATATTTCCGATTTAGGGACCGCTAATTAAATGGATCGGACGATGTACGAAGATACGGCGTGGTATGTATTACTCGTAAAATTAAAAAATAAATAAAGAAGCTGCTTTGGAAGCTTTTTTGATGCACATGTTGAGGGCCAGTTGAAGCGGCAGCGTGAAGAACTTCGGCCCCACCGCCGTAAGCCGAGGCGCCGAGGCCCAGCTTGCCAGCATGAAAAAAGTGAGAAAATAGAGAGAAAAAGGGAAAGAATATGTGACGCACGGGGACGGAGACGGAGACGGAGACGGAGAGACGGATTTAGCAATGGAATACCTATCTATTAAATGAATCAGGTAGACAGATTGGGTTTTGTAATATCCAACGGGATTTTGGAGGTGTTACTCGAGATGTGTTTGGCGGAAAAGATGGACATTATGGTTCATACGTGGGCATTGATACACGGAGTGCGGTCGTGGTGGCATGCCTCGTCTATTCGTGTAATCCTTGCAGTTAGGCTGCTTTAGTGAGCTTACAGCGGACTTGCAGCGCTGTACATGCTGTAGGCTGCATTAGGAGAGCACCTACAAGTGGTTGGTGCTTGGGCCATGGCCAATGAGCGCGGCTGCATTACTTTACCTACTGACCTACGGCTGGTGATAGGTTTCTAGGGCTTCTTCAAACTTCCGACACGGTTCATCTGACTGGGCGAAGCCCACCATTGACTGGATTACCGCAACTGGCTGCATTAGCCTGAGTGCCATGCATCAATTTATCTGCAACTCTGGGCGTTGTTGTCCAAATATGCTCGCTCGACTCCATCAATGCATCCGTTTCATCATATGGCGCGCTTGATATCCACGGCCGTGGCATCAACGCCCAAACTAGTCATGCCAGCAGAATCCGGCACGGCAGCTCTACCGCAATCGGGACCAAGAGCCGGCCGCTGGGACGACAGATCCCCGGCCTAGGCGAAATAGAGGATCCTCCCATCGCCGAGAGCAGAGCAGTTCGCCCAACAGGTCTCATCGCATGCCACAGCTGCCAGCTCCACCACGATGCCGCTAACCAGCCAAGAGGCGCAGAGACCCGCTGGCGGCCCAGTGGGCGGGATCGCCGCTGCGTGGTTCTTTGTTTAGACGCACTGAAAGGGCTGAGAAAGTAGGGCCAGGCACGCTGGAGCTCAAGCCCGGCGAGCTTGCAAAACGCAGACACGGGATTCGGGAGACGCCCTGGCTTGGAGCCCACATGGCCAATTGCCTCCCCGCTAGTACTACGTTGTACACACGATTCGGCAGTGCTGAAGCCCCTGCCATTGGGAGCTCTTTGTTGCAGAGGTGAGGTGGTTGGAGAGATAGAATGGCAGAGTGGGGGGTGATGACATTGCCTTTGAAACGACGGCTATGAGCTGCTTCATTTGGCTTGTGCTAGGCTGGATTCTGGATATCGCTGGGGACGAGCATCGCAAATAAATACGCGGGACTGTCCTCGAGCAGAAAAAGAGGCACAAAAGACTTGTCCCACCCCCTTTTGACCAACGGCATCTAGCGTTTAGCACTTGGGCTTTGGTGGTTTTTGTATTTAAATTACGCCAGTCGAGCTTGGATTCTTGATACCCAGGCATTTTGCAACCTGATTTGTTCCTTTCTTGGTTTCATTTTCGATCATAATGGCGGAGGCTGTTCCTATTCCTGAACCTCCTGGGCTGCCTTTGTTGGGCAACCTTGGCGAGTTTTCCCAACAGCCGACTAACGATCTTATTCGTTTGGCGAATACATATGGTATGATTTCTTACCTGAATCTACACATCTCTATCTGCCCATGAAATTCTGCAAATTTATACCCAAATCTTAAATAAGTGGTAGTTGGCGCTGATCAGATTGAATAGGAGAAATCTACAGGCTCCATCTGGGCACTCGGCCCGCTGTTTTCATCAACACCCAGGCGCTTGTGAATGAAGTCTGTGACGAGAAGCGCTTTCAAAAGTCTCTCAGCTCAGTGCTTCGGGTATGTCAACTTCTCGCTCAAGGGGGGAATGTGGTTTCACGTAAAAACAAGCTTCCCTACTGGAATCGAGTACTGACTTGAACCACATAGATTGTACGAGAAGGTGTCCACGATGGTTTGTTCACTGCACACACCGATGAGCCCAACTGGGGCAGAGCTCATCGTGTGCTGGTTCCGGCTTTTGGACCGATGCCCATCCGCGACATGTTCGACGAGATGGAAGACATTGCTAAACAGCTCTCATTGCGCTGGGCTCGCCATGGTCCCAACCACCCTATCCCCGTATCAGAGGACTTCACCCGCTTGGCCCTGGACACAATCGCTCTCTGTTCCATGAATTATCGATTCAACTCATATTATCAAGAAAAGATGCATCCGTTTGTCCAGGCTATGTCTGACTTCCTGGCGGAATCCAGCAGGCGAAACAGGAGACCTGGTTTCGCTCCCAATTTCTTGTACCGCGCTGCCAATGAGAAATTCTTCAACGACATCGCCATCATGCGCGATACTGCCAACGAAGTCGTAGCAGAACGAAAAAGGAATCCCTCTGACCGAAAAGATCTCCTCGCAGCCATGTTGGAAGGAGTGGATCCCCAGACTGGCGAGAAGTTGACTGATTCCAGCGTTACGGATCAGCTCATCACTTTCTTGATTGCGGGTCACGAGACAACTGCAGGTACCTTGTCATTTGCGTTCTACAATCTGTTGAAGAACCCAGTCGCCTATCGAAAAGTTCAGGAGGAAGTTGATACAATCATTGGACGCGAAGCCCCCAAAGTCGAACACATCTCTAAGCTTCCCTATATTTCAGCAGTATGTGCCGACTAGCTCTTCTTTTCATCAATTACCTTCCTTGCTCCTATTCGTGTACTTTTTTTTTTTTCGGAATGACAAATATTCACATTGGATATCTAGGTTTTGAGAGAGACTCTGCGTCTCAGCGCCGCAATTCCAGCTTTCACGGTTGAAGCTCTTGAAGATACCCTCATCGGAGGCAAATATCTCGTTCACAAGGGTGAACCAATCACTTGCCTCCTCGCCAAATCACATCTTGACCCTCTGGTCTATGGAGAGGACGCCAATGACTTCAAGCCAGAGCGTATGCTCGACGCAGAGTTTGCTCGTTTGCAAGCAGCATTCCCTAATAGCTGGAAGCCATTCGGAAACGGCAAGCGAGGCTGTATCGGTAGGCTTAACTAAAACTCTCAGTTATGAAACAGTGGCTTACAAGATATGTCAAAAACAGGACGCGGTTTTGCTCTCCAAGAAGCTACACTCGCCATGGCTATGCTTTTCCAAAACTTCAACTTTACCCTCGACGATCCTAACTATCAGCTTGAGATCGTTGCATCTTTGACTATCAGGCCGAAGGATTTCTTTATGCGAGCTTCTCTCAGACACGAAATGACTCCAACAGCGCTTGAGCGAAAGCTTGGTGGTAAAGGTGCTGCGGGAGACCATCACGCGGATACAAAAGCGGCTGGCGGAGCGGCTCAGGGATCCCAGAAGCCTCTTGCAGTATACTACGGATCAAACAGCGGCACTTGCGAAGCTTTGGCCCAGAGGGTAGCAACTGATGCATTGAGCCACGGCTTCAAAGTTACTGATCTGGCTCCGATGGACTTTGCTAACCAAAAGCTTCCCAAAGACCGTCCTGTGGTCATCATTACTGCTTCATATGAGGGACAGCCACCATCCAATGCTGCTCATTTTGTAAGCTGGATTGAAAGCTTGAAGGGTAACGAGTTGGAAGATGTTTCTTATGCCGTCTTTGGCTGTGGTCACCACGACTGGGTTCAGACCTTCCACCGCATCCCGAAACTTGTTGATTCGACCATGGAGGAGCGTGGTGCCACACGCCTCGTGCCGCTTGCCACCACGGATGCCGCTGATCGTGACATGTTTAGCGATTTCGAAGCTTGGGAGGACGAATCTCTCTGGCCCGCTTTGAAAGAGAAATATGGTGCCGCTGCGGACTCCGCCGAGGGTGTTGGTGGTGGCTTGGTTGTTGATGTATCGTTTCCCCGCAAATCGACACTACGACAGGATGTTGAGGAAGCTCTTGTCATTAATGCCAAGACTCTGACGGCGAGCGGACCCGCCAAGAATCACATTGAGGTCCAGCTACCTACTGGCATGACGTACCGATCTGGCGACTACTTGGCCGTCCTGCCGCTGAACCCGGAAGACACAACAGCAAGAGTGTTCCGTCGCTTCAAACTTTCTTGGGATGCGGTCTTGACGATTCATTCAGAGGCGGCAACTTCCCTTCCTACGAACACGCCTATTTCTGCCCGTGATGTATTTGGAGCATATGTTGAGCTCAGCCAGCCGGCGACTAAGAGGGTAGGTACATCTTACACGGCAAACCACGAGCACTGTGCGCTGACTGCTTTCTCATAGAACATCTCTGTATTGATCGAGCTCGCCCAGGATGAGGAACTCAAGGCTAAGCTCGAGAAGCTAGCCGGAGATGACTACCAAGAAGAGATTGGCGCAAAGCGAATCTCTGTTCTTGACTTGCTGGAGAGGTTCCCTTCTCTGGAACTTCCCTTGGATTCATACTTGGCCATGCTTCCCCCCATGCGTGTCCGCCAATAGTAAGTTCAACATAGCTCGTGCGCTTATGGACTCTGGAGGCGAAGACTGACACACCTAACAGCTCCATCTCTTCATCACCTTTGGCTGATCCCTCCAAGCTGACACTCACCTACTCGGTTCTGGAGCAACCTTCATTATCCGGCCAGGGCTCTCACTTCGGAGTGGCCACTCACTTCCTGGCATCTCTCACCCCTGGCGAGAGGTTCCACGTTGCTGTTCGCCAGTCGAAGGCTTTTCATCTCCCTACAGATGCTGAAAACACTCCTCTTATCTTGATTGGTGTTGGCTCTGGCCTCGCGCCCTTCAGGGGCTTCGTCCAAGAGCGTGCAGCCATGATTGCCGCCGGCAGAAAGGTTGCTCCGGCATTGCTCTTCTACGGCTGCCGCTCCCCGGATGTTGACGACCTCTACGCTGAAGAATTCGAAAGATGGGAGAAGCTTGGCGCCGTTGAGATGCGCAAGGCCTACTCGCGCGATACGGACAAGTCGCTCGGCTGCAAGTATGTTCAGCATCGGATGGCTCACGACCGTGAGGAGCTTTACAAGCTGTGGGACCAGGGCGCCAAGGTCTTTGTATGCGGCAGTCGTGATGTTGGTAAAGCTGTTGAAGCTGTCTGCGTGCAGCTCGTTAAAGAAAGGGGCGAGGCTGACGGAAAGGACGTGACGGAGGAGCGGGCTCAGGCATGGTGGGATAAGCAGCGCAACGAGAGATATCTCACGGATGTGTTTGACTAGAAGTTGAGATGAGATGGGGAAAATGAGATGGTGAAAATGAGATGGGAGCACGCATGTGTCTTTCTACTGCTGCTGCTGACGCGCTTAGTGAGCGATGAAATGGAGGTTGCGTCATGTTATATTTACAGCCATTTCATAGTGCCTTGTATGGGCTTTCTGATCAATATTGTAAGAATCGTGTATTTTCTCTCGCTTCGCAATGAGATATGTTCTAATACCACACACACTCTATGAAAAGTAGGAGCAAAGTGGTTTTGAGAGGCTAGTTGATATGATCTATGTGTATTATAAAGCTTTAAGAGGATCTCTATCTTTACAGAGCTTCGACTTGGTCTAGTTAATGATTTGATCTTCATCCAGCAGATTCAGTCATCTAATTCCCATGTCAAATAAATATGTAACTCCTCGATCGAGATAACTATGCTCCAATAAAGCCTCAATGTCGATAGACGTCCACTGCCTAAATATTGCTCCAGAACTGACAAGCGCTATTCTCTTCCTGTCAAGGCTCTCGAGACTGTTCTGAATACGCATGCCGACATTCTGAGTCTATATTAAACTTGTGCCTTGTCAGTGCCGGAGAGGTATGCATGACCGATGTGTATGTAATCTAGAATTCCACTTCTTCTTTAGTTCTGGGTCTTATGAGATGGGCAATTCTGCAAAGTGTTGATAATTGTAGGCAAATTCAGTGTGCCTATGTATCTTTTCTTCGTAATTCATCACTTGTAATCCCGCCACCATCCAAGGGACGTCGTGATGCTGTCGCCGTAAGATGCTCATAGAAGAAGCACAAATCTAAAGTATAGGGCTGTGATTGACTTGGGGGCTTTTGCGAACCGAAGCGTGGTATGATGTGGCAAACTTCAGGTCGGCTGTCGAACTGTTCAGCAGTAGTGGCTCCCCCCAGCGCCGCCTACCAACAATTAAGACATCTCTGATTAAGCCGAAGATGGGTTCGTCCATATTATTTAAGACCTCTGATGTAAAAGCATCTCTGTTGCTTACTTTCTGCCGGCACACAACTCGGGAGGGGGAAATTTTGCCAAATTCTTGATAGAGTCCATAAATGCGAGGAATATGGCGTTGAGGAAGCACCACTGCGGCCAAAGTTTGCTACTAGCTGTATATCACGGAGCTGCTTCTAAAGCTTCGACGCGTCGTTTTTGGTGAATCGACCGTGCGTCTTGATCAAGCATCAGTGGAATTGAAATTCTCATCGGTAGTTGAATTCCAATGCCGAATCTGTAACGACATCGCCTTCGGTCGTGCGTAGGGCGGTCGGAGAGCATAAGCTGTCGTCCAGAGTTTCGCTTATGGATGAGTTCATGTGTGTGGTAGTTCGACTGGGTGTAGTACACGAGAACCGGCAGCTTCTGGTCCCGGCGACAGACGCGGCCGATCGCCTGGTCCTCATGGACCGGCTTGAAGAGCTCTTCCAGATTGATGAGGTAGTTACAGAACGTTAGGGTATTGGTCTCAGTGCCTACCACCTCGGCCTCCGTTCTAGCAGGAAGATGTAGCCTGCTTAAGTCTCATTGGTGTCATTGAAGCACATTATCTGCTAAATTTCGCCACTTGGAAACATCAATTTCCAGGAGGAATCGAGGAGCTACCGTATCTCTTGCTGTTTGACCAGACGCGCTGGCAGCAGGTGTTAAAGACATTCGGGTTCGGCTCGTAGACGGCGAGATTGAATGACTGACTAGTAATCTCTCGCCATAAAAGTTCATCGCTGTTATCAATGTTAATGGATAAGAGAGCGAGGATCTAAGCGTGAGCATGCCTGATCCCTCGTGCTCTCACTCGTATCTAGCCATGGTAGTATTCGATAATATTCATTCTGCGCAGACGATTGAGTTGAAGTGAAATGAAGCAACTCGTGGCGTAGGTGGCTCTTCAATACTCATTCGAGCCTAAATCGCCATGATGACCATCCACTTGCCCATACAAGCCGCATGAGCCGCCAAATACCCGGCCCTCCTCTTCGTTCTGCCCGGTTTTGACGCCTTCTGAGCTTTCTGTCATCGCAGCGGAACCAATTCCAAGATAGCAGATTCTCAATGTTCAGGTGATGCGCGGGTTACTCTCCTTAACCTCATTTTGCTGAAACATGTTCAATAATCGGGCGAAGTGGTGCTCCGACGTTGAGTCAATTCAATATTCATAATTCCAGAAACACGTCCAGCAAGGCGGCCACTTGGCTTTCCAATCGCAAAGTCTGGCGATCAATTTGTTCGCATGCTGTTGTTCAACCGAATCGTCGCGTCGAACGTATGAAATGTGTCGTGCCAGGATTGTTACTGACCAAGGGACATGTATGTAAGTATGTGGTAAAAAAAAAATATTCGACTAGAGAGAGAGAGGGCTCCTTACATTGATATTTCCCCATGCTGCGGTATGCATAGACACTGCAAATAAAGATGGCGGCGTATGATCTCTAATTTTTGGAAGGCTTTTGATTAGAGGGACGTCTAGCGGGAGGCCATTCATGCACGTCCCCGTGCGCTCTATGGTTCACTGATAGGAAAAAATCGACGTGACCATTTTGGGGCATTCATTGCACCAGGATGTGCTGTCGCTGTGGTTGAAAGAGAGGGTTGCCGGTCTTGTCGTGTGCGGCGGTGGACGACGGGCCGCTTCACAGGGATGGATATGCATAAGTATCATGAAAAGTGAAGCCTCTTGCCATAATGGAGGACATAAAAAAGTGTAGTAAAAGATGTATAGAGAAGAGAGGTGGATAAAGAATTTTTCAAGAAGAGAAAAAATGAAAGCTGAAGAGATGAGAAAGACTTCCTCATATAGTACCATCTACGTTTCACGGCATTGGCGAGTCGACAAGTAGGGCTTCACTCACTTACAGGCGTTGCGACTTTTACCCTCATCACGTGTATATTCGGGTATTGCCATGTATCACCAACATGATGTAACACCGAATACTTCGCTCGTTTTAACATACCTGTACTTATGAACCGTGTATGGCTACGGCCTGAATCACTTTGGCTTTATCATAGCTCTCAGATTATAAAATAGGCATCTGTCTATCTGATACTTGTCTACTCCTTCCGATATCTCTCCAGGTCTCATTTCATTTGGGATCGCTTTGATTTCTCCCGGTCCTTGTCGATTGGTATCATTCATGCCCAGCATTAAGATACTCTGTACACAGTGAGTCTGTTCTTGAAAGCGCAAAAATGGAATCTCATAATCTTCGGCTAATAGTAGTTTCCCCTCTCTTTCGAGTGTCGTTGAGAAAACTGACTGGAGACTTCTTTAGTCTCCCAATCCAGACGTCGAATTGGCTCATACTAACACTACCAGCTGTATAACTGTTACGTGACCAGTAGTCAATCCATACAACTTCTTAATGTCTCGGAACATTCGTCGTATTCTGCTTGTCTATTCAATGTCTTTATGCATGTCGATGGAACAACAGCTAGCTTTATACTAAATGAACCGCCAAATAGGCGACAATTCGCAATGTGATGAACAAGTAGCGAATCGCAAATCATTTCCAATATTATATATGAATAGTAGGTAGTTATGAAGTATTATTGTAATATATGCTAAAAGCGATTTTAAACATTCTTAAAATATCCCAACCCTCAGCGCCATGCTCATAAACTCGCAAATAGGCTTCTTTCCAGAATTAAAACCAACAGAAAACAAAGGAAAAATAATAAAGAGCGACAGTGATATATCAGCATCATATATGTTTTTAGCAACAAAGATATTAAGCAACGCTAACGGTCCTTCGGCTCAGTTCGCTGTATCCTGGTAGTCGGTTGTCATTCTGCAGCGCCGACTCAGGGACGCGAATGACGCGAGGCTGGAAATACGAGTCTGCCTCCTCTTCTGCCACAGCGCTTTCAAAAGTGGGAAGCTCGTGATCCTGCGGCTCATAGACCGTTTCGACGCCAACTTGCACAGGCACCGAAAGCGCAATGGCAGTATTCGTGGGACCGACTGACAAGCTCAGTTGCAGGGTGTAGGTTCGAGAAATCAAGCATGAGTGAAAGGTTGGTAAGAAAAGCTTCTTGTTCGAGTTGGATATAGTGAATGGGATCTCAAGATCGGTGGTATGCTTGATAGTCGAAAGCTTGGGCCTCTTAGAGCTTTTGCCTCTGCTATTCTGTCGTTCTCTTCCCTCGGCGGCTGAGTTATCCGTTTCGGAGGCATCTCCTCCAATAACAGTGCTCGAATAGCCCGAGTCTCTTCGGGAGTGCGATGACGCATCTTTCTGCATCCACGACATGGAATCCACGGGAAGAGTGAATAGCGAGTGGGTTGTCGTATAATTCAGGCACGGAGTGCTCTCGCAGTTTGTCCGGCTACCTAGATTCGGCAGATGGTCGATCGGCACGGCGCTAAAAAAGGTGGTAGATACGACTTTTCCTGTGACGGAGTTGACCTTGGGAGGTGCCGTCTCAGCCGAAGACGGGGCATATTCCAAATTAACACGGACACTTGTCATCGAGGACTTATGTCCGTCTGCAGAAAGCATGACAGCGTTGGGCTGAATGGCACTAGCGGTGAACTGGCCTGTTTTGCTCGAGAACAAGCTCTTTCGAATCGTCTTGGTCTTAGATAGCTTATACCACTCATCTCGGAAAGTGATGTCAAGGGGTGCATCTTCAGGGAGTGAAGGGAGCACTTTGAGAACATGGTGCGCTTCCAAGGCCTTTACGGCAGCTCCATTAACACGTTTTATAGCCTTTGCGTTGATGGCATATTCAATTTGGGTCATGTCTGGGGCTTGGTCATCGGCATCCCAAGCTCCCAGGCTGGGAGGAAGACGTAAATGTCGCTCCCGTACCTCTGGTGACAAGCAGGTGTGGTTGCAAGCTCCAATGGTAAGCTGGTGAGGCACAACAAAATGGAACGGTATCTTGTACTCGGTTGCGGCTCGAAAGACCTGATCTTGCGGCATGTCGGACTCTTGAATCGGCATGCGAATCTTCAAGAATGGCCTGAAAGAGTGAGAAGGATACTGCTGAACAAAGTCGAGTCGTGTGGCAGAAATGCCAACAAAAACAATGTCCAGATGATCGAAGGAAGTGTCTTTCAGGACGCGAACAGCAACATGGCCAGCAATAGTAGATCCAGAGGTGTAGACCTTGGCTTTGAAATGCTGGTCAATCTTGACTTCCATGAGAGGATTCTGTGAAGAGTTGCTTTTGGACCCTTTGAAAGGGCGAGTTGTTCCTTGAGATGAAGCGGACATATCTTGGATGCAGTAATAAGATTGTGAAGAAAGAATAAAGGATATTGTGTCGTAGAGGACAGAGCGTGGGATTAGATAGCAGTTGTTCTCTTCAGCTTGTGATACTCCTTGTCAAGGAAGTGTAGAATTAACCGTCGTAGTAATAGACGAATGACTGTCGAATATGTGGCTGATGTGCTATGGATAGCAATTCCAAACGCACTTCTCGTGGTATATATGACAATATTATGCCCCGGGTAGTCGGGCGTATTATAATCGTAACGCAGGCGAATAAACAAACAGAGAGCAATCAAGAAAAGCACGGTACCGGCGGATGAAAGGCAGGCAAATAGCAAGCTGCAGAACGAAAGATGACGAGGCGCATAAGATGGGGAGGGCCACGCCCTTATGAGCTGAGTCAACTGAGGGCTTCCAACATGACCGGGTCATCTTGAGCTTGTTCGTGGCGTGGATGGAGGGGGTGATACACAGTAGGTAGGACTCGTAAGAGAGCTTCTCGGCCATCGCGGTACCGGTACCTGCGGGCCGCCGTGGAAAAAGCAGGTCCCTGAACCAGCTGCTTGGGGCGTGTGTCGAGGGCTGGCGTGATGGGGAGTGTCGCGATCATCTGAGGAGAGGCTCGTTTGGTTGCATGGGGCTGCTAGCAGGCCTAAGTGCCGCCAGTCCGCGTGGAGCTCGCCCGATCAATTGCATTGCTTGGCCCATCTTTGGCGCAGGTACGGTGCGGCGATCACGGAGCAAAAACGGCGTGTTATGCGTGGTTCGAGACTGAGGTCTATGATGAGTTGAGATGAGAAGAAAAGGGCGAGAAGAGAAAAGGAGGTTGGAAGATGCAGACAAGCAGACTCACTGGTGGCTGTGGATGGTTCCTTCTGCTCTACGTGCACTTTGCAGAGTCAATTGGAGGGCGTAGTATCAGCTACTCCTTGGGCACTAACGTTAGGCAGCGTCTAAGTGGTAGCTCTACTTTGCTGACCTGCACTAACTCACGGCAAGGAGGGCATTGCATGGCAACTTCCCTTTTGCCATGCCCTTTTTGCGGGGGATTTCACGCACACAATGTTCGTATCAGATTGGATAGCACTGTCTTCCTTCACGATCCAGCATCTGCAGTAACAGCCTCGTGGGTTCACTACGGGACATCTCGTGCTGATCTGCTCCAGTTTTGCCACGCAATCCAGTCTCAAGTGGTGCTTATGATTTCATATTTCCAAGTATCATGATGATTCTCAATCTGCATGGACCACAAGATCTCGTCTCTCAAACTTGTCTGCACTATCAAGTAATGCCCGCCCTCTGTTCTAACAAGCAGTGCGCCCTATTATTAGTTCGGTCTTCCCCGGTGGCCTCGGGCTCGCCTCAACTGGATGTTGGGTTACGATGAACAGACCTCAAGCGCAGAATGGAGGAAAAAGGAAAAAGGACTTCCCCATCGTGAGCCCCTGTCCCGGCGCATGCGCACGACTTGACAAAAACGTCCCAAAAAAGAACAAAGTCGTGCCAGGACCCTGGGATTATGTGGAGGATAGGTGTTCTGGCTCGGTCTGGACTCTATCGCAACCTTTTTTTCCGGGCCCAGGATGTGGATGCCCTCGTGGTGGATTCGGCGCTGGATCGGAGGTTGGCCGGGAATGAAGGTGCATCTCCGCCCCTTGTTAACCACGGACATTATTGGGCAGCAGCTGTTAAAGCAATAGAGGCGAGGATGTGCCTTGCTGAGCTGAGCGGCTGCACTTGGCTTGGATCCGTGTGATGTGCGTGCTTAGGGGCGGCTGATTTACACGCAGCCAGATTTCAACGGCGGCTTCATCCATTCGCTTGCGTCGCATCCCACACGTGCCCTGTTATTATACAGCGAGTTCTTCGTACCCATTATCGAATCGATTACGAGTTATACTACGAAACAATGGATGTGGCATCTGTCAGCCGTCCCCGCGAAGCCTATTACCCAGCGTCAAACTCGGTTTCCCGATATCGCCATTCGCGGTGCCATTCTCCATTTCTCACAGTCATCCATCTGCCATTCAACCGCTCACGAGACATGAAGAGAAATGGCTAGAAAAAACTTGGCCTGGATTTAGCTACGGCCAAAGTCTCCTCAGCATCTCCACTACCTTAAAAAGCAATCATTGACGAGACCCCAGGCAACAAGATGGCAGCGGTATTGGTACATTGGACTTGCTTAGCGCCCGCGATGCCTCTCCTGTTCTGCTTCCACCCCTCGTGGCATCGGTAGTTGATACTTTACCTGCGCACGGCGGGCGGCTGTCGAAGTCAAGTCTTTCTGACCCCAAAAGAACGTTCAAAGTCTAAAGTTGCATACGCCCCTGTTCTCCAGTTTTTGGGCCCCAGATTGCTGCACGATTTGACAGACGATCTCCGTAAATGGCTTAGTACAGCTATCTATTTGTCGCCCCATTATTGGAAGATCCTCTTTTCGAAATATTTTCTTCGTTTCGTGACTCGATGCTTCTTCGCAGCTTCTTTTAGGACATCGTGCTCGCTAGAGCCTGTGCCTAAGTCTAAGTGAAAGGGATGAAAGGGGATTGAAAACTTTCCTGAGCTTTGTTGAGTGAGGGCGAGGGGAAAGGACTCTCGAATTTCATCATTGGCATGTGACCCAGCAATAAGCGATCCTGGGCTAGCGTTAAAGTGCGTACAGCTTTCCGCGTATATTTGTAATGACTTGTCGCGGAACAATTTATAAGCCTCCTCAGTCTCAATGGCATTCCGCGTTATGAATGATACAATACGTGCTGCTGACAACATACCCCGTAACTCCGTATATGACATGCAGACCGCACATGGTAGGACATCTGTTGCCGGTAGTGCAGTAGAGCAGCGGTTGAAACAAGTGGAACTTTAGGTAGCAAGCAGGAGGCAGTAATGGCGGGGAGTTAGACTTTGAAGTCAAAATCTCGATTACACAAGAAGTGCTTGGGGCTCCTCTATCACTCTACTTTTTAACCTCTCTCTATTGTTGCTTTGGAGACAATTTACTGAAGGATCCGTCTTTCTGTATGTATATGCCCAATTAGCTTTACTTACTCATATGCTTTCTATGCAAATGTTTGTCATTAAGAGTTACAGATGCTGCAAGATAGTCTTCTTCCAGCTGTCTCATCCGTTGTTGTTTTCATCGCTCGCTTCTGCAGTAGCCTTACCCACTGATTGTCCACCTTGGCAAAACCTAATCCGAGTGATCGCCAGTCCACATACCTCATTCCGCAACGCCACTTATAGCGCAATATGTTCCGTGCCGAGCGCTATCAACGTGCATTAACCGTGCGAAGCACTCTATGATTCATTGATTTTCTTTCTTATTTATAGGTTTGCAGCGGGGGTTTTAAGCAATTGCTCACTTACATAACAACTACCATTTTTGCATCCACTTTTGTTTCTAACGTTCGGCAAATCTCATCCCGAAAGAAGCCATCTGATAGACCAACATCAGTTGTACGTGAGAACTGAGAGTCTATGGGGCCGTTTTGCTTTGAGTGTTTACAATTTGGTATGCTTGCTGCGAAGACGCATGGTTCTAGTAAAAGCACCTCTCCATAGTAGTAGCATTTTTCATTCTTGTATATGTACCCAGACACCTGATTCTTCCAAAGCCACGTGTTTGCCAGTCTCATTGGCTATGGCCAGATTCGGGTGGAGATGCAACGCCGGCAAAATTACGGCTAATTGCAGCCATCAGTCGGAATGCAGATGCCGCTGCCCGCTAGGCCTAGTTGGGCACCTGTTCATAGCTTCGGTGGATTGAATTGGAGCCCCCTTGCCATATTCCGACCGCAATCTTGACATCTGGTCATATCAACACCATCCCTTGTGAAAGATTGAAGCTCCAGACAAGCCATCATATTAGCACAATTGTGCCATACTGAAGAAATACAATCTACATTTTTTTCCCAGGATGCGCCACTCTCACTAGGGACAGATTCCATCGTCACACAAGGGAGAGAGTGGAAGTGATCTGGCCTCCAGCTGTAATAGAAGCTAACGTGATCCAACGGCTTTTGTCGCGTTATTCTGTTTCAAAATTACTGAGTTGACTCTAGGATTCTTTTTTTTTTTTTTTTTTTTTTTTTGGCTGAAGCCAAAAAGAGAAACTGAAGCCAACCGGCAATACATGTCTTGGTGATACTGTGGAAGGAGAGCTTGGCGCTGTGTGAACTGATTTGAGTGTATCAACATGATTGGCACATGGAGGTCCGGCCTTTGTGGCCTTGTCCATCTTCTCCTTTTATCGCCGTCAACGGCCTTTTACATCCCTGGTATTGCCACCACTTGACTTCGTATTTTGTCGTGATTTTGAAGCAAATGAATGGTTATATCTTCGGCAATTTGCTAACGTATCACATCGCAGGCTGGTCGATCAAGAGCTATAGAGATGGCGAACTGGTGCCTCTAATGGTCAACAAGGCTTACTCAGACAACACACAGCTACAGTTTGCGTACACCGATTTACCATTCACTTGTTCCCCGACTGGAGAGCACAAAACTGGAGGCGGCCTACTGAGCGGACAAAGCGTTCCCTTGAATTTGGGAGAGGTGCTACGCGGTGATCGTATCATAACATCTGATATAGAACTCGCCATGACGAAAAATACCCCGTGTACGCTGCTTTGCAATAAAGAAGTGTCACGCCGTGACCTACGCTGGTCGAAAGAGTTGATTCGAGATGGATACGTAGCAGAGTGGATCGTGGATAACCTTCCTGGCGCTACCAGCTTTGTCACCGCCGACAAGAAGCGCAAGTATTACGCCTCCGGTTTCAAGTTGGGCTATACCGAGGCCTCTTCAAAGACGGGCAGGCTTCACTATTATCTGAATAATCACCATACTATCGTCATCCGGTATCGCAGGGCACCGGGCAGGGCTGGTGATCGCGACGAGAAAATAATCGTGGGCTTTGAAGTTTATCCCAAAAGTGTCGGAAATGGAAACAAAAAGGACAGTTCAGGATGCCCCGTGGACATACAAAACGTGGGCCAGCCCTTTGAGCTCTACATTGCTCCAAACAAGACGTCAAGTACAGAGCCAAATTATGATGGTCTGTCATATCATCCCGACGAAATAGAGGAGGATGATAACAGCCCTGGTACCTTGAACATTCCATATACCTACTCAGTTCATTTCCGCGAAGATAACAGCATCGAGTGGGCTCATCGCTGGGATCTCTATTTCGTGAACCAAGAAGGAGGCTCACGTATCCACTGGGTGGCTATCATCAACTCTCTTATCATTTGTGGGCTACTGACAGGAGTTGTCATGATTATTATCGCTCGGACTATTCATTCCGATATCAATAAGGGTACTTCTGCAGAAGAAGGGAAACGTAAGAGTAAGAGGGCAAAAGCCAAGAGTGACCAGCAAACCACAGGCTTGTTGAGCCAGGGAACAGACGCCGACGATAGCGATGAAGATGAAATGTCCGACCAAGGCGAGGCCTTGGAAGAGGCTACAGGCTGGAAGTTGCTCCATGGAGATGTATTCCGGAAGCCAAAAGCTGGAATTCTTTTGGCTCCCCTCGTTGGGTCTGGGATGCAGCTGTTTTTCATGGCTATGGGACTTGTTGCGCTTGGTGCATTGGGAGTTCTCAATCCCAGCTTCCGAGGCGGTTTTATCAGCGTTGGCGTGGGCCTCTTTATCTTTGCAGGACTCTTCTCTGGCTACTTTTCTGCGCGCGTCTTCAAGAGTTTTGACGGAACTGATTTTCGTGCAAACGCCATTGTCACGGCACTGCTTTTTCCCGGCCTCATATTTGGGCTCATATTCATCCTCAATCTCTTTGTATGGGCCCAAGCATCAAGTACGGCAATTCCCTTTGGAACGCTGGTCGCTATTCTCTTCCTCTGGCTCTGCGTACAGGTTCCGCTTGTTTATGTTGGGTCTTATTACGGCTTCCACAAGGCCGGTGCCTGGGAACACCCTACCAAAACGACGACGATTCCTCGACAAGTTCCTCGCCAAGCGTGGTATAGCAGATCTATTCAAGCAGCCTTGCTGGCGGGTTTGATTCCATTTGCTGTCATCTTTATCGAGCTATTATTCGTATTCCAGTCTCTATGGCATGACAAGAGTGGCTACTACTATGTCTTTGGCTTCTTAGCGGTCGTGTCTGCTATTTTGGTGGTTACCATTGCCGAAGTGACCATTGTATCCATCTATGCTCAGTTGTGCGCGGAGAACTACCACTGGTGGTGGCAGTCATTCTTTATTGGGGGCGGAAGCGCATTTTGGGTGTTTCTTTACTCATTATGGTACTATTTCTTCAAGCTTCACATTAGTGGCTTTGTGAGTAGCATGCTGTTCTTTGCTTATAGCTTCATGGCATGCTGCGTATATGGACTTTTGACCGGCACCATTGGATTCTTGAGCGCCTATGCTTTTGTACGTAGGATATATAGGTAAGTTTCCCCAACGACTCCGAATCACATGCCAGGGGAAATGCAGGATACTGATACACTTTGCTATAACCAGTGCGATCAAGATTGACTGATTATGCATCAGTGGATAAGCATGAGCCTTTTTTCTTTTATTGCGCAATTTTACTTTCAGGTTATTTTGAATCTTATATCTTCGTTGCAAATCGTGTTGCAGTTGTGATGTGATAACTCTTAGGTGGCATGAGCACAAAACACAATTCTCCTAGCGCGCCAAAGACAATTGCGCACAATAGTGACTATTTCAAAGTTGGCCTCGCTCTGGTGTCATCTTCTATAACATCAGATCGCTCTATATCATGCTGTTATTTCGCGAAATACGCAATATGGATATTGAGATTAGCGATGCGGCATCATCGAGTGCACCAAGTTGTCAAAGATATGCCAAGCTTGCGGCCAACGCAGCCGACCCTTTCACATGTCAAGCAAAAGGCGGCATGTCATCAAAGGGCGTGATAAGGACGACATATTTGACATTGATCCCCTGCCGTCCGTGCGACCAGAGCAACTTTGCCATCTCTTCTACAACTCCAAAAGCTTACAGAGGTTGACAAACAAGTGGGGGGCATAACGGAATCGGAAGTTTTGAGGCAAACGATGAGAGTCTGACAACGGCGGTTCCACTCATTCCCCTGCAGAGCCCGAGCTTTATTACCCCGATGAAGAATGGCCAGATCCTCCCTGTGGGGGGGGAAATTGGCATCGAAGGCTCTCTGATTGATCTGGCGCTGAGAAGCACTTGAACCGGCGGCTTTCCTCCCACGCTCTAATTTTTCCTAATTGATTTGCCCCAAGGCTGCTTGGCTGTGATTCTGGAACCAGACAGGGCTAAAAATGGTTAGGATCTCGCAAGGGCTTCTCCACAGGGGCTTGGGACGCCGAGTTGGATTACTGCTTTTCTCCAATTGTGGCGGGGCTAAAAACCAAGGGTCCGGCGCATATATTTTAGGAGACGGATATCGCCTCAGTTGTGAGATTCAAACTCATCAAAGACGGTTCAAGGCAAGCCAGCGAGAGACTATCTGGCTGACGAGAGCAGAGACAGACATGGCGCACCCAATGGATTCAGAGCAGTTTAGAGAGGCGGCCAAGGCGGCAATTGATGACAGTAAGTTTCTTTGCTTTTGTGGCGTTTATGCTTTCCATGTATTCAATTTTTTTGGTCTTATGTTTATGGGGTTGCGTTCTCCGAGCCATCGACAGAGTCACAGTTCCGAAACTGGCATATACGCGCTTGCAAATGCTGTGAAAAGATGATTTGAGTTGTGTATCGTTCTTTCGCAAAGAATGAGAAGCAATATCTTCAAATCAACATATCATGGATGCAATGCGGAACATGAGAGGTGGTCAGGAGACATTGAGCTAACAAGATGTGAAAACTCTCTGCAGTCGCCAACTACTACGACAACATCTCTGACCACCGAGTTGTCGCTGATGTTGAGCCCGGCTATCTGAGGCCGCTCCTCCCCGCCTCGGCTCCTCTCGAGGGCGAATCATGGGACTCCATCCAGGCGGATATCCAGTCAAAAATCTTGCCCGGCATCACTCACTGGCAAGCTCCCGGCTTCATGGCCTTTTTCCCCTGTTCAAGCAGTTACCCTGCTGCCATTGCGGAAATGTACTCCAACACCTTCAATGGCGCCCATTTCAACTGGATCTGCTCCCCTGCAGTTACCGAGCTGGAGACGATTGTGATGGACTGGCTGGCTCAAGCTCTGGGACTTCCTGAATGTTTCCTTAGTGGTGGCCCAACCCACGGCGGTGGTGTCCTGCATGGAAGTGCCAGCGAGGCCATTCTCACCGTCATGGTTGCTGCGAGAGACAAGTATATAAACGAGGCCACGGCTCATCTGCCCGAAGGCGAGGAGAAGGAGGAGGAGACGTGGAGGCTTCGCAGTAAACTAGTTGCCCTGGGAAGCGAGGGCACTCACTCCAGCACCAAGAAGGCCGCGCAGGTTCTGGGCGTGCGATTCGCCACGGTGCCGATATCAGAAAAGGAGGGCTTCACCATGACGGGCAAGGCTCTGGCCACGAAGCTTGACGAGCTCAAGGCCAAAGGACTCGAGCCATTCTACCTGACCGCCACCCTGGGAACGACAGACGTCTGCGCCGTCGACGACTTCGAGGGCATCTCCCGCACACTGGCCCCGCGAGCCGGCAAGCCAGGCGAGATCTGGGTCCACGTCGACGCAGCCTACGCCGGCGCCGCGCTCCTCCTGGACGAAAACAAGCCCCTGGCCAAGCCCATCGCCAACTTCCACTCCTTCAACCTCAACCCGCACAAGTGGATGCTCACGACCTTTGACTGCTCCGCCGTCTGGGTCCGCCAGCGCGGCCACCTCATCAACGCCCTCAGCATCAAGCCGCACTACCTGCGCAACCAGTACAGCGACAACGAGCTCGTCACCGACTACCGCGACTGGCAGATCCCCCTCGGCCGCCGCTTCCGCTCGCTCAAGCTGTGGTTCGTCCTGCGCGCCTACGGCATCCGCGGCCTGCAAGCCCACATCCAGAGCGGCATCACGCTCGGCGAGTCCCTCGAGGCCAAGCTCGTCACCAGGCCAGACTTGTTCACCATTTTCACAAAGGCGCATTTCGGCCTCGTCACGTTCAGGGTGAGCGGGGATAGCGAAGACAAGATTAACAGCCGCTCGCAGAAGCTGTACGATGCAATTAATGCCAGTGGCCAGTTTTACCTGACGAGCACGGTGGTTAAGGAGCATTTTGCGATTAGAGTGTGTACGGGTGTGGCGACGGTGCGGGAGGAGACTATTCAGAAGTTGTTTGATCTGTTGGTTGAGACGACTGAGGGACAGTTGAAGCTGGAGTAGACCAGACGAAGAAAATATCAGATCAGGGTATATAAGAGCAAAATTATACATTCGTCTTTTTGATATATACGTGTATGCCTAGCTAGCTATGATTTCTTTTCAGATAGAAACAAAGGAAAAAAGAAAAAGAAAGGAGATGGATAGATAGATCAGTCTGATCTGCTTAGACAAACAAGTTCATTCATAGCGTATTTCATACAAATAGCATCATCATAAAGTCGTTACAATTCCCACATGATTCGTGTATCCATGATTCGTGTATCCATGATTCGTGTATCCATGATTTTCTCAAGACTTTTCAATCGAAATACTCCTTCTTCTGCCTCTTAATAAGCGACCTCTCGTGATTAAACAACATCGTCGCTCCAATCAGCCCCAACACCAGCCCCGGCGTCCAGTCAAAGCCGGCACAGTCCTTTTCTTTCTGCAATCTATGGAGCCGGGCCTCAGGATCAGCGTGTGAAGGACGAAATTCGCGCGGCAAGACGCGCTCGAGAAACCCCAAGCTGCTGCTACGGCCCTTTTTCTCAATGTGATCTCTGTCAGGATTTCGGTCGTGGGAACGGTCACGGCCACGGTCACGGTCATCGTCGCGACGGGAACCCCTCTTGCTAGAGTGACGGTCGCGAGAGTGTCTGTCGTCTCTGTCTCCGCGGCGGCGATCATTTAGGTCACGACGATAGCCGTTGTTATCGTAGCTGCTCTCAGAGTTGTCGTCATGGCTGTCGTCATAGCTGTGAGGGATGTAGCCACTCCTTCGCGTACTCCTTCGCGCATCGTAGCCGTCGCCACCGCTTCTGCTTCTTTTGCTGCTTCTGCCGCTTTGACTGTAGTTGCTTGCTCCATAGCCAGACCCGTGCTCGGGATACATGCTGCTGGGATAATCTCGTCTTGAAGAAGGCATTGTGTGTGTATGTGATAGATGAATTTGTTTTGTAGATAGTCACAAAATGTTATAACAAAAACTGATTCATTTTTGATTTGGCACAGATTCATGGAGTGAGGAAGAAAAGGATGCTAAGCTTTTAAAAAGCTTCCAGTGCATTGCCTTTTCAGCTTAGCAAAGATTTGCAGCCCTCTGCCTCCCCCTCTTCACTTGATCGTATGCGACCAGGCGTCATAAGGGGCCACAAAGCAGATCGAGAAGATGACAAGAGTCCACGGAGATATGATGCTACCCTGGCAACCTGCCTGGCCTGGCTTGCAGAAACAGACACAGACACACAAAAACTTGGATCTGCGCGAGCAAGTATCCGGGAAATGATGTCAGACGTGCCACGGCTCCGATTCCCACTGGCTGCAGCCAACTGGAGCATCAGCGGACCAAGCACTTTAATCCCTGCATATCGCGATCGGTGTCCACAAGAATTCAGGTAACGAGCCAGTAGGCAAGCAGGATCACTACAAGCTTCGTCACTTTCGTCATAGCACCGTTTGGGCATCGCTCATCGAAGAACCGGCGACGTGGTCATGGTAGAGGTGAATTCTATGTTCGCCGTTATGGCATGTTTCATGTTTCATGTTTCATTAAGAAAGCTTCTAGTCATTCAGAATCATTAGCCATCATCGCGCTATTGGCTTTTTTCTCTTCTAATGCCGCCGTCTAGCTTCCTAACAAGAGAAGAAAATTTTAATATGCTTGCTTCTTGTCTAACCGCTTTATGTCTAGATGCTGGCTCGTCGAGGCGCTGTAGTTCTCCGCAGAGCCTTCTTCGCCTCAGTCTCTTCCATCAAGGGCAACTTGTTCTCGTCTTTGAGCTGTTGGAAAAACTCTCGACCAAAGTTATAGCCCATCTTGTAAATCTCGTCAAACTTGCCAAAGTCTAGTGTTCCGTAGGCATCGACAGGCGGCCGCATGTAGATGCACCCTGGCATGGTCTTTGCTCGCTCTAAAGCATCTACACTCGAGACATATGCAAGCCTGCCTTGAATCTCTGCGAGCGTTGGTGGGTTGGGATGCGCTGAAAATGGGTTCCATCGATTGAAAAACGCCCACATACCGGACAATGAATCTCCATATGTCTGTGGTGTGTCATCGTCAAGCGCTCCAACATCAATCGCAAAGATCATGTCAACTCCCAAGTCTTTCATATGTGATACCGTCAAGTTGTCCACGTAGCCACCGTCCAACAGCATGCTGCCTTCGTCACACAGCGGTGGCAACAAGCCGGCTAGCGACATTGAAGCGCGAATGTATCGCCACGCATATCCACTGGTATGAAATTCTGCTCGGCTCTTACTGATGTTGGTGGTGTTGCAGTAGTATTCGAGCCAAAAGTCTTCGATCTGCGTATTTCCAAAAGTCTTGAAAATGCCTCGATTGAACTCATGCCCCGTTGTGTATGAAGCAGAAGGATATGTCAAATCTAGAGCAAAGCGCCAGAGACTGGCCATGCGACCAGCAAATTTCTTTGCAAACCCAAACATGGGGACAACGTCTGCATGGCGCGCATACAGGGCTCCGACAAATGATCCGATGGATGTGCCGCCGACGATATCAATGGGAATGCCAGCTTCTTCCATCGCCCTGATGATACCAATCTGACTGATACCTCGTGCACCACCACCGCCCAGAACGAGCCCAATGGATTTTCCGCAAAGTCGGCGGGCCAGGCGGTGAAAGTCTCCCTTGAATGGGGTGTCAGGCGAGTAATACTGGGTGTGGTGCACATTTCTTGATGTGTACTTTTGGATCTCAGCTTGCAAAACCTGAACTCTTTCTTTGAGAGCTTGTCCAAGCTTCTTCGACGGAGGGTGGACAGGCATGGCGTCCGTTCTGAATGCCATTTGGATGTGGTAATGACCACCGTTAATCCACATGCGATTCCTCAGCCACGACCGTGTAAGTCCAGGGCGCGAAAATCGTTCAGTGTGGAGCAGAACCAGAGTCTTTCGCGCTGTTGACTTCATTCCCAACATGAAGCGTTCGTACTCTCCAATTGCCGGCGAGCCTTCTGCCAGGCCAACTAGTAGAATGCTATCGGCTTGAGTAATGCAAGTTTGTGTCCATGGCGAGTTGACGCTAGTGTCTTTGACAATCATCCATGTTAGCTTGTGGTGCAATACAGCTTGATTGTAACAGTAAATGAGCGAATAAGTTATGCGATCAGGAAAAAATTAGAGTTAACATAGCCATCATCGACGATGTCTTCGGTGTAAAAAGTTTGTCATCATAAAGCAAGAGGATTTAAATCAACGCAGAAAACGAAAAGTAGATGGATGCTTACCTGCCACATACACCACCAACCCATACTTCTCTTCCAAGTCGGCGAGGTATTGTGATAGCTTGAGTTTGCCCATCTTATTGAACGCATGCTTGCCAAGATGATTCAGGATAGCAGACTGGTTCAACGAAGTTGCGCCATTCTGAGGTCCGACCTGGGAAAGCGCATTCATAAGGCGGTGCCCAAACTCGATAACAGGAACGCCCGAGGTAACTGGCAGAATAGCCACAGTCCGAAGATTTAACGTGGACTTTCGCTGGTTGTTCACGGCACCCGAGCCTGCTTCCTTTCCGATGTATTTGGTCGAATCATCCACCGCCGCCCTCATTCTGGAGGCAATGATTTTTGATATCTTGATGGTAATGTTGGGATGCTCTTGGGCGAGACTGTTGAAAAGGGTGCGAGGAAACTTGACAAGCTCCGTGTCCCGAATGGCATGCAAAGTTCCAGAGCGTGCAGTCTCAGTAAGAACCTCAAGCTCACCAATACTCTCACCTTGTCCAAATTCAGCTCGCGCCGATACTCCGCCATCCTGCCTATCTTCAACCAAGCGAAGACGACCATTAAGCACAATATATATAGCATCGCTCTCATCGCTGTCATGGAATATTACCTGGCCAGCGTTGACTTGAACCCATTCAAGAGCAAAATCAATGTGCAGAATTAGACGAGGCAAGATGTGGGTAAGCCTCTTGGCCATTGTCAAGAGAATAATAGGGTATTTGTCCACTATTCTTTCCAGGGAAGCTCGAGGAAGAAATCCAACATATACATCCGTCTTGGCTACTACATCAATAAACGACCTGTAAGAAGAGACGCTGCCAATGTAACCGGCTATGCCTCCAGGCTTGACAAGAGCAACGCTTCGGCGGCGAGTCTGGCCTCGAGATGAAGACAAGGGCGTATCGCCATTAGACCTCTTGGAAGAAGAGCTTTCAAACAAATGATCCGAATGAAGCGACTCTGAGCTGAAAGAGGCCAGACCCGATTTCTGGAAAATATTTTGAGGACCCTCAGTTATGGTGGTCCCAATGTCTAAAAACCCATCAACGACGTAGTATAGACCGGGACTCCGCTCTCCTTGCTCGATGAGCACCGATCCCTTGGGGAAAAAGACAATTTCGACTTCATCCATCATGTCATGAGCCAATGCATGCGCATTTGGCGCAATATGGCTGGCCAGTCCATTCGAAGCCAGAGATTCAGTTTCTCCATCCATAGATCCATCGTATGGCCCGATGAAGCCAAACGCGTTGTTCGTGAACATGGTCTTGGCACGTCGTTGATCCATGGAAATCAATCTCGGAGATCCTTCTATAGATATAGAGTCGACATCACGAGAAGAAGTCCCACCAGCGTCCAGGCCGAGGGATTTAAAAACGCATTCAAGAATTGATGCTCTGAACAGATTGTCTTCATCGACCGAATCACGATCCATTGAGATGCGAGCATGTCTTTCAGAATCAAACGGATTAAACGTCTTCTGAGTCAGCGGACTGAAGACGGCGCTTTCCTCTGCACCCATATGCGTTGGCGACCGTAGAGGATTTGCTGGGTTTGGGACTCTGTTCAGTGCCCGAGTGAGCTGTGCACCTGCCAGCAGATCTCCAGGGTTGTTAAAGCCGCGAACTGATCGTGGATCGCGCGCAGGAGCTGTACCATTGAGTGTAGATGACGCAGATCGGTTTTTGGCGATAGCCTGCATAACAATCTCTGTTCTTATAGCCGCACTCGACCTTCGACGCCTGGTAGCTGCGGAGTTGTGCAGCGCAATCCCCTTTGTCCCTTGGTCTTCACCGATACGCTCTCGCTCAACACTAAATTTCTCTTTTAGTCTATTGAGTGCATCTCCACGAAGTATATTAGGGAGCTGGCAAGTGGTGAATTTGACCATGTCCTTCTCGGTTTGCAACACTTCAGCAGTCAGGCCAAGATAGTTGAACGCCTGTGCAAGTGTCACCCTTTGGAATCGGGAGAGAATTACGTGAACGATATGCGCCGTCGCTTTGGGGTATATCTTGATCAGCCTCCTGAAGGCACTTGCAGGAATGATTGCAATAGTCGTATCAACCGTGGCTCTGGCTATAATGTCGGGATGTGCCGAGCTCGACATTAGCCTTTTGAGAGAGCCTGGCCGTTCTTTACTGGGCGGAAAAGTAACGGGAGGCTCTAACGATATGGGTGGGATCTTTGAGGCGCTTTCTCCACCTGGTAATAGACTGCCATCCTCGTATCTGACTCCTGGACGGTCCACGTTGGGATCAAGATGAGGAGTACTAGGCATCGACGTTGGGCCATGAGAACGCTGTCGGGCAGACTCTTTCAGAGGATTTGGTCTCCTGGGATGCCGACTACCACTCGCTCCAAGAGGAGACTCCTCGTCATGTGTTGTCAATCTCACATCCTCTGTGAACAAGGACATGATGGAAAAAAGGGATGACATCGGCGCTCCATTGCGAACCTCAGTCAAAAGCTGATACCTTTGCTGGCCTGGCAGAGTATCTTCATCGTCGGAAGAGTTCAAGAGGTCATCTTGAGACCCGCTCCTGGCAGGTGCTCGAGGGTTTCTTCCCGACTTCACAAAAATCTCAACTTGACCATCAACAACAATGCAGAAGCCTTTTTCCTCTTCCAGATTCATTGTTTCTCCGGCAATAAGCTTTCTAGTCTGCATGCTTCGAGTCAATTCATGAAACACGGATCGTTCGAGATAACCGAAGATCTTGATTGCGCTCAGGAATTCGTCAAGGTAGTTGGCTAGGCCGGACTTGATGCCGCCCTCGTGGGTATCGGGGAATAAGTCGATTTCAGGCTCCTTACGCTGAGGTTCGGGAGGCAACCTTGAGTACATGTTCAAGATGCGATACCTGACGACCCAGCTAGCCGCCGACACGATAGCGACGACAATGAGCATGCTAGTGAAGCTGTGAGTCTTGGGTGGCTCTGCAAAACCAAGGGATTGGCAGCATACAGCGTAGTAGCATTCATAGTCACTGTCCAACTCTCAGAGAAGAGACTGTACAGGACACTTGGAAAGGTAATGGTTACCGTCCGAATGATGAAGTACAGGACGGTAGAGGTGAAGTTGATCATGCTCAAGAGAAGCCACCCGATGAGCCCGAGCCAACCAGAAGAGGGCTGAGCAGCTTCGATAGCCGCAGGGCTCATGGTGAGCGAGCTTGAAGGCGACTCCATGGCGTGTGAGACGCTCTGGGAGAGGCTCCCAGCCAACCGAGCAGCATTTGACAAGTCAGATGCCATGGTTGGAGATGATGCTGCACGTTGTCGCCCAACATCATACAAAGCGACAGAACACTGCTCCTGAGAGGGAGGGTGCCGAAGCGGCAAAGCTTAGGAGGGGAAGCCGAGCTTTAAAAAAAAGACGTGAGAAAAAAAGAGGAAAAAAAGTAGAGCTTGTGATCAAATTTCAAGCATGTGGTTTTGACCTCCAAGCTTAGCTTTTCAGGCCGGTGTTCTGCCGGCGTGAGCACCCCCACCATCCCACCTTTTTTCGTCATAGGCTAGACAAACTCGAAGGATAAGCGATAATAGCAGAGCAATTGTGAGTAGATGGAGTCAAGATAGGGGATAGAACTTATATCAAGGTATACAAAGAAAGCCATATAGTCAGATATATCTTTAATGACTCAACATGGAGACAATTTTTCATGTTTAATTGTTCTAGGTGCTACTTTCTGCTCATCAACATCGAAGATCACATGACTCCAGTCAAGCTCATTAGCAAATTAAGCTTCTAGAAGCGCATCTACTCGTGGAAATACATAGAAGTGGTTTGCAGAGGGCAACAGAGCTAGAGAAAAGCACCGGCATTTCTTCTCCTCTCTACCAACCGGAGCTCTTTAACTCCTGACACAGAAGGCCCAGCCTCCAGACTGATCATGCCACATTGATCCTGTGTAGAGAAAATCTTGCCCAGATGCCCTTTGCGCAGCTTGTACTCGGGAGCCCCGGCGCGGGAAAGAGCACATATTGCGATGGCAGTACGTTTGAAAGCCCTGCGATTAAATTCCAAAGTAAAAATCTCCAGAGACGCTAATATAAAGCTTTTGAACCCTCTTAGTGCACCAGTTCATGGGCGCCATCGGGCGTGCGTGCTCCGTCGTGAATCTCGACCCTGCCAACGACCATACGAACTACCCTTGCGCTCTCGACATTCGCGATCTGGTCAAGCTGGAAGATATTATGCGCGAAGATCGCTTAGGGCCGAACGGTGGCATCTTGTATGCTCTTGAAGAGCTGGAGAACAACTACGAGTGGCTAGAGGAAGGGCTGAAAGAGCTTGGAGAAGACTATATCCTATTCGACTGCCCCGGGCAAGTTGAGCTCTACACGCACCACAACTCACTAAGAAACGTCTTCTATAAACTTGGCAAGATTGGATTTAGAGTCAGTTTACCTTGCGAATGGCAATAAGACTCGGGGTTCGCTAACTATGGCTGTATAGTTTGTCTGTGTCCATCTCTCCGATAGCTTCTGCCTCACTCAGCCTTCTCTATACGTATCCAACGTCCTCCTCTCGCTCAGAGCCATGATCCAGATGGACATGCCGCATGTCAATGTGCTTTCGAAAATTGACAAGATAGCATCATATGATGAACTCCCTTTCAATCTAGAATATTATACCGATGTCGACGACTTGACGCATCTTACTCCGTTCCTCGAAGCAGAATCTCCAGGCATGCGGAATGAAAAGTTTGGTCGACTGCACGAAGCGATAGCACACATGATTGAGAGCTATGGCCTGGTGAGATACGAGGTGCTGGCGGTTGAGAATAAAAAGAGCATGATGTATCTGCTCCGCGTGATTGATCGCGCAGGAGGCTATGTCTTTGGAGGCGCGGAGGGTGCCAATGATACGGTCTGGTCTGTCGCTATGAGAAATGAGACTTCCATGATGGACATTCAGGATATCCAGGAGCGATGGATCGACCACAAAGACGAGTATGATCGTCTTGAGCGAGAAGCCGAGGAAGAGGAGCAGAGGAGGGTACAAGAGGAGCACGGCATGGATGTCGACGAGCCCCAACCAGCTGCACCTCCCCCTCCGGCCGCATCTGAGGGCGAGATAGACCCAGACTTTGGCGATATGACCATACCAACGGACAGTGGAGTCCGGGTAATTAGAAAGAAATAATCATAATCCTTTGCCACCCATCAGCTGCCATCTTCCATATCCTCGTCGCTCACAACATTGTCCACATCTAGCACAGCGTCGTCTTTCGTGCCCAGTATATCCGTAGAGAGCGAAGATTGCGGGTGAGCGCTGGCTTCTGCCTTGACTGCCAGGATGAGTTTTCTCGCCCGGTTCACCGCCACCTCTTCGATTTTGCGAATGGTACCGCTTACACGAACGACACGAAAAATGCAGGGCCGCCCATCTTTGACTGGGACACGATCCATGAACGTCAATGCTGACCACAAGAGTTGGTAATGCGCCCTATTGCATCTCAGAATGAATGTCGAAGTCGCCAAGGACAGGTATTTGACTATTGCGTGCATGGGTTAGAGTTACATCCCCCAACTGCTCAGATATCACATGCGCCCCCCGGAGATGTCAGCCAGATGCTGACCCCAAACGACAAACTCACCCGAAAGATTGCCCTCGAGAGCGCCCGCGCCATAGTCGCCGTACAGCAACGACACCTCTGCCCTGATGGCTCTGACCAGCGCCTGCGGAGTCAGCTTCTCAACGGTCGGCTGGTGCTGGGCAACCAGGCCTGGCACGCGAGCCTTGGATATCTTGGCGGCATCGGGCGGATAGACGATGTTGACGAGGAGATAGCGCTCCTTGATGCGCACCATTGCAAGAGGACAGCCAGACAAAGCAACGTCTGACCAGTTCGGACGAGATGCCGCTCGATTAATGGGAAAAGATTCGGGCTGCGAGCAATTGCCGGATCCAGTCCAAGAGGGCGAGGATCAGCGGCTGGCAGTCGAGATATTCTCTCAAGGTTGCAGATTCCACAAGAGATTTGACGCCGAAAAATAGTCCATGGCGCCAATTCGGGTCTCGGGGTATTGATGGGGTGGAGATCCCGGCGCATGCAGCTGTTGGCCAGCGCGGCGAAGAAGCTTATCAGAGCGCTAAAATCGCGCTGCTGCAGCGGGCTTTAGGGGAGGCTTGGGGGACTGGTTAGGTGCTGCACCCGTAAAAACCTCCGCAATGCTACATGCCCGTTTCTGCATGACCTCACAGGCGTTTGTACGGCAGACAAGCTTCAACTTTGCGTACATATAAGAGTGTACCATACCGTATTCGCTCATCCAGAGGTTCGGACGCTACTATAGCTTTGTATTAGTTGGAAAATAAACGCCTCGGAACAGACTTTGTTCTAGATCCGGGCTGCTCCCAACATTGATGGCGCGCTGCCCAACTTGAACCTACGATCTACATGTAGCTAAGGATACGGAGCAGATCAGAACAGCTTTCAGCTACCTCTCATCGTGTCGTTGAACAAAGCCTTAGAGTGAGCAATCGAGGGTCAATTTTGAAATCGTCCAATTCCGATTGAATACGAAGTCTAAGAGGCACTCACAACACCTTTATCCAGCCGCCATCTCCATTGAATCTCCAGCTTCATCTGCCACCATGGACGGCCCATTCAATGCCGCAGTCCTCATCGTCTCAACCACGGCCGCCAAGGACCCATCAGCCGATGCCTCAGCAAGCGTCCTGCGAGAGGTGCTGCTGCAAGACGGAGGCGGCCGGTGGGACGTCGTCGATGAGCGCATCGTATCGGACAATGTCTTTGACATACAGAGAAACATTATGCTCTGGGCGGACGGCCCCAACGCTGTCAATCTCATTATCACAACCGGCGGCACCGGATTCTCAGTGGCAGATGTGACGCCAGAGGTGAGTGCACATGAAAGCAAACCGTCCACCATGAGATATATATATAGGCCTATGCTAATAAGAATCGTGCTTTCTTTGCCCCTCTGAATAGGCTGTCGCTCCTATGATACATAAATCCGCTCCGGGCTTGATCCACGCCATGCTTTCTGCATCCCTAGCAGTTACACCATGTAAGTTCATATGAGAGAGCTTTTTAGACGTTTTATGGCTAACGAACTATCAAAGTTGCCATGATGTCTCGCCCCACCGCAGGAGTGAGAAATAAGACTCTCATTGTCACCTTGCCTGGCTCACCCAAAGGTGCAAAAGAAAACCTTCAAGCCATCATCAAGACGCTCCCACATGCCTGTCTCCAAGCCGGCGGCGCAAATTCCAGAGCTCTGCATTCCGGTGGCGTCAAAAAGCTTGAAGCTGACGCTGGGATTGATCGCTCCCCAGCTCAGGCCTCAGCCTCAACACACCAACACCATCACGGACACTCCCATGGTCACAGCCACGGCCCTGGACACTCTCATGGCCATGGAAGCCTCCAGAGATTCACTACGCCAAGCTCAGCTAACCCATCCCACTTGTCCAATGATTTCAGCCAGGGTCCCACGCGCCGATATCGCGAGTCCCCTTATCCCATGCTATCCGTGAACGACGCTCTTGCCCTAGTATTGGAGCACTCGCCGGAACCCCACACGGAATTGGTCAAGGTCGATGAGCACATTGTGGGAATGGTGCTGGCTGACGACATCAAGGCCAAAGAGAACGTCCCCGCCTTCCGAGCCAGTATCGTAGATGGGTATGCCGTCGTTGTTCCCAAAGATGGCAGCGTAAAGGGCGCCTTCCCCGTCACTGGCGTGTCCCACGCCGCTCCAGGAGAGATACCGCCTTTGAAGGAGGGCGAAATTGCTAGGATAACGACAGGAGCTCCGCTGCCGCCGGGAGCCAACGCCGTCATCATGGTAGAAGACACCACCCTGAAGACCATGACTGAGGACGGCAAGGAAGAGAAAGAAGTCGAAATCCAAGCTGAAGGAGTCACGGATGGCGCCAATGTCCGTGAAATCGGAAGTGACATTGCACAAGGCAGCGTGATTCTCAAAAAGGGAGAACAGATATCCGCAGTCGGCGGAGAAATCGGTCTTCTCGCCGCCGTCGGCGTGGCAGAAGCCCAGGTATATAAGCGACCCGTCGTGGGAGTGCTCTCCACCGGCGACGAGATTGTCGACTACCACCGGCCGGGAGGGTTGAAACTAGGTGAGGTCCGTGATACTAATCGCATCACGCTTATCTCCGCCGCCAAAGAATGGGGATTCCCGGTCATCGACCTCGGGATCGCCAGCGATAAGCCCGGCTCTTTGGAGGAGACTCTGAGAGCTGGCCTCAGAGAAGCTGACGTGCTCATCACAACAGGAGGCGTCTCTATGGGAGAACTCGACCTCCTGAAACCAACTCTTGAGCGCTCTCTGGGCGGAACGATTCACTTTGGTCGTGTGGCCATGAAGCCTGGCAAACCAACTACTTTTGCCACCATCCCCGTCAAAGACAACGCAGGACAGCGCATCTCCAAGGCCGTCTTCTCCCTCCCCGGCAATCCCGCCTCCGCACTGGTCACATTCCACCTCTTCGTCCTCCCGTCTCTGCATAAGCAGTCTGGCGTCTCGCCCGTTGGCCTGCCCAAGGTGCCAGTAACGCTGGCACACGAATTTCATGTCGATGCCCGGCCAGAATTCCACCGTGTTGTCGTGACCATTGGTCAGGATGGTCTTTTGACGGCGAGCAGCACTGGGGGACAGCGCAGCTCCAAAGTAGGTAGCTTAAGGTCGGCCAATGCGCTGCTCTGTTTGCCCGGCGGAGGTGGGAAGCTGGAGAAGGGCTCAAAGGTTAATGCTTTGTTGATGAACTCTGTGCGTGGTGGATGAAGGATGATTCAGTAGCCAACTGTACATAGTAGTCTCCACAACTGATAGGACCCAATCAACGGGGAAGAGAAAAAGAGGGTGGAAATAGGGGGGAAATAATTAAGCTCTTTTGATCTTTGAACATTCATTGCTCTTAAAAGAAGATGCCTAGATTCGAGCATCCGCAGCTGTCTTTAGTGTACACGGGGTGCTAGTCATACAGCTTCAAATAACAAAAACAAAAATATGAACATCGTCTACAGCCCAGTCTTCCAAACGCCCAACCAAATATTATCGGCGCAATGCATGTATATCAAATTCCTGCTCTTTTGATTTGATCGTGAAGGAAATAGAGAGAGTTGCACAGAGAGAGATAGGCTGCGCTAGTGTTGAGGATTACTTGATCATTTCTCTCACTTGTATGACTTAGGTGGGCTTGGCGCCAAACGCAGGAGCCTTTTCTGACACCAAGAGGCCGACGATCAAACCGAAAAGTCCCAGGACAGAGCTGAAAATCTCAATAACCAGAATCTTGACGAACCTATAAGAACGGTCAGCATTAAAAATCAAGGAACATAGGGCTGTCTAGCAGACAAGCATGGGGAAATAAGATAAAGGGACAAAGGGGAGAAGCCATACAATGAGGCATCTGCCGCATCAGCAAGCGCAGCTCCACTGCCGTTGATGCCGACCGCAACACCACAGACGAGATTGCACGCGCCGACGGTCAAGCCAGCCCAGAACAAGGCAAAGCCGGTAAAGTACGAGTCGGGAGAATAGAGTTCAGCGCCGTGGACGGCCTCGACCTTGGAGGAGAAGACAATAGCCATGATGACGCCGTAGATGGCGACGACCTCGCAGAAGATGATGGAGATCAAGTTCTTTGTTCGGATTCGAGGAGCCTTGACGCCGGCGCCGAGGATGGAGGATCCGGTAATGAAGATACCCCTGTGTAGAAATGGCGATGTTAGTTGACTGTGCTTTTATATGCTATTGTCTCCTGCGGCATAGCTGCGTCATGCTGTTTTGAACCACCGCTATCCTTGGATCGATTTACTCACCATGCAGCACCAACGACAGAGAGGCCGATGCACAGCGAAATGCCCAGACTAGCCCATGCGTATGGCGATATCGATTCGAGAAAGGCTCCGACGTTGAAGGACTCGCCATTGCCGGTAAACAGCATGTCTGTGATGGTTCCCTGAGGTCAGCCTTGGCAGTTCAGTCGCAATCGTCTGCATGTCCGGATTTCAACACGTACAAAGTCCCACCACAACCAGGAACGACCAAATGCCGCCTAATCCATACGTATAACTCATGATTTCCGTGGGGCTGCTGCCGCTGCTGCTGTTGTTGAGTAGATGGCGAAAACGGGTTGCTGCCGTTTAGTTGCAAGCTTGGCTGAAGCTCTTCGGAGCACTGAGGCGCGACAGAGGCCGATGTCACATGACAGTGGCGCTGAGTCATCCAGTGCCAGCAGCTCCAGAGCCGTTGCTTCAGCGCCCCACAGCAGGCTGCGTTGGAGTCGGAGGCCACTTTAGAGCTCCAGGCGCTGCAGCCTACGGCATTAGTCACCTTGCGCTAGGCTGAACCGCCTTCAACACCGTCTGTCAACCGCTTGCTGGTCCGAACTTGGACCAAACATCATCCAACGCCGTTACGACTATCGGCTATCCTCGACTTCCATCCTGTCGCTTGAGCAACGCCGACTCTCCTTTACGCCCATCACAGACGGCTCGAGCATCAAATTCATTCATTACCTACCAATCACAATGGCGAGCGGCGCGCAGTCATTCTACGAGCTCTACCGTAGGAGCAGGTAATGGCCAATCTACTGCGGGGCCATGGCTTGTCACTAACTGACGTTCGCAGTATCGGGCTCGCCCTGACTGACACGCTGGATGACCTGATCAGCGAGGAGCGCATTCACCCGCAGTTGGCGATGAAGATCTTGAGCAACTTTGACCAGGCTATTACCGAGGCGCTTCAAAAGAACGTCAAGAGCCGGCTTCAGTTCAAGGGAAGCCTGGATACATATCGATTCTGCGACGAAGTGTGGACTTTCCTGATCAAGAACGTGACATTCAAGATGGACAATGGCAACGTCTCTGTTCAAGCCGACAAGGTCAAGATTGTTAGCTGCAATGCCAAGAGACCTGGCGAGGGACAGTAAAGCGCGAATCGCAAAGGAAGAGATGATATGAAAATACCAAAGAGAGGAGGGCGAGAGGGGCTCTGTTAATCACGCACGGATGGCGACAGGACCGCCAGAAATGTGCGAAATGGCGTTTTAAGGGTTTCGCTTGGGATACACGGACAATGGGAGATTGCTTGGTTTTATATATAACAATTTGCAACTACTGGGACATTTAGTTGTTTTAACGAATCGTATTATGAATTAGACAATACAGATAATTATTTGCTTCAAAGATGACTGTGTTGAAACTTGATATGTTAAGTCCCTGGCTCTCGGCATTTGCCTACAGCCCCTGTGAGCACAAGAGTGGGCATATTCTATGGTGTCGCAGCAGAGCCGCGCCACTGTGGCGGTGACTCAGTCAGAAGCGGCCAGAATAAACGGCATATGATAGACGAGGCACTCTTTTCAGACATCTACAGCATCACAGCAGAAATGCACTTAAATTAGAAAGAAATAACTTCACATAGGCAAAGGCATGTATGCATTGATTGTCCTATGTTGCAATGAATGGAGATAGTAATACGTAGGTACTAGGTACATGTAGTTGGGACATATCCCGCGCCTATAATACAGCATCAGTCTCGCTTATTTTGTCCACTGCTCGCCTATGACAACGCCGAAGCAAGCTCCATTCACTAAAACACCCCAGTTCCACTGTCCTGTCCGGCCCTAAACAATCAATGTCAATGCCTCAGCTGTCACTGTCGGCTCAGCGATAGATGCGTCTTTGAGAATTGCCATATTCCAATTCCTCGCTCACACGCCTCAGAAATCTATTTCGAACACAAAACATAAGCGAAAATCCACCACCGCCCCCACATCTTCGCATGGACGCACGCAAACGGCGGACCAAACCGCCGACCTCTCCGGCACCCCAGCACCATCACGAGTCCTCCCGCGCCGACAAGAGCGCTTCTCCCACTGCTGGCAAAATGGACGTTGAAGAGCCTCTCTCATGGCGCAAGCATTGGATGTTTTTCGCCGTGGCGAGCGGTGCTTGTGCGGCGTTTAACGGCGTGTTTGCAAAGCTGTATGTGATTCCATTCGTTATTCAGGCTGTCGTCTCCTCGGATGACTGCCTACATGTACATATATATGTTCAATTTCGCTTCGCCATGAATATCTACCAGAGCAATGAATATTGCTTTTTGTATTATACTGATATGAATGCTACTTTAGAACCACCACGCAACTCACCACAAGCCTGTCAAACGGCATCGCCCATGGACTTGGAATCGCAGCTCACGAGAAGATTGTCGAAGTCGTTGTCCGCGCTGTAAGTCATCTCAAAAATCAACAACTTCAAAATACGCCACGCACTAACTTGCCATCATCTAGATCTTCTTCATTCTCAACCTCGTCTTCAATGGCATTGTAAGTTTCTTTTACTCCATCTCATCTCTCGCGTCTCGTAATATCGTACATCTCATTACATTCATGACACTCACGTATATCTAACAAAACATCAGATGTGGTCCCTCTTCACCACCGCCCTCAAACGCGGCAAGTCTGCTACTCAAGTCTCCATCATGAACACCTCCACCAACTTCCTCGTCACCGCCTTCACCGGCCTGCTCATCTTCTCCGAGTCTCTTCCACCCATGTGGTGGGCCGGCGCTTCACTGCTTGTAGCTGGGAGCGTCATTGCTGGCCGAAAGGACGAGGATGAGGGTACCAAAGATGCTGCAGTCGGCGATTCTTCTGGACCGGTACCTGCAGGTAGTAGTCTTGAGTTAGAAGGAGATGTTGTTGCTGGAGAAAGATATCGGGATGAAGACGTCCCCGACTTGGGAGAGCTACGTAGTTAAACCGCATGAACCGCTGTTTAAGTCGATGGTGATAGCATAGCATTCTTACATCGCTGTATATACAAAATTGAAAAAAACGCTCTCATTTATAATTCCATCTATCTTCTTTCCAACTCAACGCCCTCATCAACGCCCTCCTCATCCCCGTCCAGGATATTCCCTCTCCTCCCACGCGCCCGTTCATCATCAAATTGCCCACTAAGCCTTACATGACCCCGTGAAACAGTCGACACCGAATTAGAAACCCAGAATCCCACTCTGCGAAGCGCGCTCCATAAATGCTCCTGTCCTTCTACGACGTGTTGGTCATCCTTTGGATTCTCCGCCGCTTCTACTTTGAACTGGTATTTTAAACAATCTTTCACGGTAACTAGGCCAGAAAGCTTTCCATGATATTCAATCAGAATGACACGAGGTCCAATCTTTTGGAATAATTCCATGACAGTCTCCAGAGGCAAGCGAGGATGTGCCGTTACGGGCGTGGCGTCAATGTACCGGCTAAAGTCAAGAGGCGATGAGGCCGCAGTGTCTGAGCGGAAAGCGGGCGTAACGGGAGTGATCGCAGGCGCCTGAGTCGGATGCGGAGAGAAAAAGCATTTTGCATCTTGAGAAACAGGCCGTTCACGCTTTGCGCGATCGATGGCATAGCGCAGCTCGGTCCTACCAATGTAGCCAACCAGCGTCTTGGAAGTGCTATCCAAAACGATGGGGAATCCCTGATATTTGTCCTCGGCCAGCAGCTCCTCGACGTCAGCAACTGTTAGTCCATTAACAGAAAGTGACACGACTGAGCTTCGCATGACCTGGGAGACGGGAACGCCATAATTGTGATCCTCCTTGCTATCAATAAATGGAAATCCATTGAACCAAATCATGCGATCGGCAATACCGCCCTTGCCAAACATCTCGCTGACAAGCTTGGTGACGCCAACAACAATCATTGTTGGGAGGATATATGTGAGTGCTCCAGTAAGCTCAAACATGATGACGACGACAGTCAGAGTGAGATGCATAATGCCGCTCAATGCCGCCGCTGCGCCGAGGAAAGCATACGTGCCCGGTGTGATGCATGGTTCGTCTGGCTTGCAAGCAGAAAAAAAGACGCTGGTTGGGTTTGCTTCATAAATGGCTTGGACAATAATGCCAACGGTACGTCCAAAGGAGGCACCAATGGCCATGGAAGGAACAAAGATTCCTGCGGGCACCTTGCAACCGTACGAGATAATGACCAGGAACACTCTCAGTACCGTTGCAAGGATCAGTGACACGAGATTCCATGCTCTCTTATCCTTGTCGCAGAGCCCGTGGTAGTTTTCGGCTCCTTCGCACTCGAGAAAAAGAATCTCCATGCTCTCTGTCATGTCGATCTTGAGAAAAGCGTTCGGATAGGCAATGATGGCAGTTCCCGCCGCGAGGAGTGTCGCCTCTAGGATGGCATATTTCGTCAAGTACTTTTTGCGGAAAGCCTGCGCTCGCAGATTCCACTTAATCACAAAGGCACCATACAGCCCGCCAAAAATTCCTATTATGATGTAAAAGACGACCTCGAAAAAATGCCAGTCTCGGTCATATTTGACTTGGAACATGACCAGCTGGCCCGTTCGAAAAGGGTTCATGGCAGATAGCACCGCCGTGGCGACCAAGGCACAAAAGTAACTCCGCCACATCGTCTTGAGCGGAAAATAACTCGACATCTCTTCGAGTGAGAAAAGCACTCCGCCAATAGGGCTGCCAAAGGCGACAGCGACACCAGCGGCGGCACAGGCGCTGAGAATCTCGCGAGTCTTGGACGCATTACTCCTGTATTTGTTAAACAGCCTTGAAATAACATTTCCGGTGCAGACGGCGTAGTGAACACTGGGTCCTTCCTTTCCAACCGAAAGGCCGGAGGCGATGGCCAGTGGCAGGCATATGGACTTGATCAACAGGGTCCAAAATCCAAGAAACCCCTTCATCACAAAGCCAGCAATGATACATTTGATCTCCGATATGCCAGATCCAGCTGCATATGGAGCATACGACTTGACCAGCGTTGCAGACACCCAAGCAAAAGTTGTCTAGCAGCGAGTTAGGATGCCTTGTTCAGTAGAGCTACGGCCCAGAATCAGCATATTACTTACCGCAAAGATGAAGTAGATAAAGTAGTTAAGAGGACCAAAGCCTGTCCATCGATGCCACGCTTCACAGCCTATGAGAATAGTCAGTTTGTATTCCAGCATCAATAGGTATGCAAAAGAGAAATGATTACCGTTATCCTCTCCCCAACAACAAAATTTCTCGTTGAGATAAAACCCCGTCGTGCAATGGCCAGTCTTGATATCTGATAGCCATTCCGTCACAATATTCAGAAACGCCGCGTTGAGCCCAATGGCGGCTCCAATGATAGTTACAACGATCCATCCCTGCGCGGCATCGTAGGATTCCCAGAGGCGATATCTCCAGCCGGGTTGTCCGAGCCTGTATACTCCTGCTGTGCGAGTCCTGCGAGCACTTCGCCGTGCTTGTTCCCTCGCAGCATCTTGTACCCAATCTGTCGAAGCCCTAGAATCAGTCTCGTTTGGTTTTTACGGATATGGTGGGTTGGATGTAGAATCCAAGACCGCATTCGCTCTCACCTATAGTTGTAAAGTCCTGGATACCACAACAGTCAGCGCTGAAGTCTAAAGAGTGCCACGCATAGATGTACATGTCCCCATCGCATGCGCTGTCTTGCTCACCTCATATCTCTTGATTTCGGCAATCTCCTCTTCAATCTGACCCTCTCTTGGTGCGTTCCTAGCAGAGGCTTCGCCCTGTTCTGCATTGGACACGGCAAAGGACAGTCGAGAGCTGATGGACGGTCGTCGCGAGAGCGCCGGGCTGGGAGCGCCGAAGGCTGCTGTGTGTGAATTCATGGCTCCGGGCCGCAGATCATGGCGATCGGTTGGCCAGTAGCGCAATCGCTAGTGCCTTGCGGTGTGATTCGATGCGATATGGTGCGACTGCGACTGCGGCGGCGTCTATCTGGCTATTTCTTTGGTTTTGGTGTCAGAGGCTGTGTTGTCGCAACGAGCGAGGGATGTCGTAGCAATACTGGCTGAGACGAGCAGCGTACCTTGCTGTAAGTGGTAGCACTACAGGCACCCACTAAATGCAAAGCCCCTGCTGTAGCAGCAGCTCCTCTAGCATGCTTGGCTGGCGACTAGCAGAAGGCTGTGGGCATTGACATAACAAAGCCATTGCATGAACGATATTTCATGTTTGATAATCGACGAAGGCTTCAGGGTTTGAGGTTCTTCTTTGTACGAATTATATAAAAGAATTCGAACTCTTCCTTTTTCTTTTTATTTATCTTAGTATAAAGGCCTGGTATGCAGCAATCCAGAGGTTGTTCTACCAAGTACCTGTCTCAAATCACGTGCATAATTGGAAGCTCCCCACCAGCCCGCTTGTCCCTGGTCAACTTGGCCATCGAATCGCGGTGGCGCTACGTATTGGATCGTTCGTAGCTTTGCTGGCAGGAGACCAGCACAGGCCAGATTCGCCATATCGCATTGCTTCGCTTTCTGCCACCTACAACGCCATATCTCCCCGTTTCTCACTCGCACACTCCTTGTTTCGGTCTATTAGCGATTATACCCTCAAGATGGTAAGCTGCGCAGCTCTCTGCGGCATCTACAGCCTCCTGGCGCAATCCCCGCCGTAACTAACAAACCGACTCTATCCAGGCGGCCCAGGTCATCTCCAACTCCGGTCACGATGATATGATTGTATGTTCGACCTTCCAAGTATCCGCTCAATACCGCTACACCTAAAACCTGGCACCTGCTATACTCTTCTACAAACTTCAACTTCGAGCAATAGAAAAATCGAGATCGCGTCTTGGCAACTAAAACTAACAATGGCCCAATCTAGCACGATGCCGTTCTCGATTACTACGGACGAAAGCTGGCGACATGCTCGAGTGACCGAACGATTAAGATTTTCGAGATCGAAGGCGAGACGCAACGTCTGGTAGAGACTTTGAAAGGGTGAGAGACGCCACTTCAACTCATACTCGCCAACATCGCCCGATTCAAGAACACAAGTATTGACATCCACATCCTATAGTCACGAAGGTGCTGTATGGTGCGTTGCCTGGGCGCATCCCAAGTACGGCAACATCTTGGCATCGGCTGGCTACGACGGCAAGGTTTTCATCTGGAAGGAACAGGGTGCCCAGAACAGCCAATGGCAGCGAATCTACGACTTCCCCCTCCACAAGGCCTCGGTCAACATTGTCTCCTGGTCTCCTCATGAGGCGGGCTGCCTTCTCGCCTGTGCATCTTCCGACGGCAACGTCAGCGTGCTCGAGTTCAAAGACAACAGCGTCGACCATGTCACATTCCCTGCCCACGGCCTCGGTGTCAACTCCGTTTCTTGGGCCCCTGCTACTACACCTGGCAGCATCGTCAGCAGTGCTCCGGGCCCTGGAGCCACTGGCAACCGACGGTTCGTCACGGGCGGCTCCGATAACCTGATCAAGATCTGGACATTCGATCCCGCTGCGCAGTCATACAAGCAAGAAGGCGAAGCCCTGACGGGCCACTCCGACTGGGTGCGCGATGTTGCCTGGTCTCCCACTGTCCTGCAAAAGTCGTACATTGCATCAGCCTCCCAAGATAAGACGGTTCGCATCTGGACCTCAGACCATTCCAGCGGTGGTCAGTGGGCAAGCAAGGTGCTCAACTTTGAAGCCCCCGTTTGGCGTGTGAGCTGGTCCCTGAGCGGCAACGTCCTGGCGGTTAGCTGCGCCGACAACAAGGTATCTCTCTGGCAAGAGAACCTGCGTGGCGAGTGGGAATGTGTCAAGTCAATTGAGGAGTAAACTAGAGAAAGGCGGATAAAGGCAAAGAAATACATATCTTGGTGTTATGATTAGGCGTTTTGTTAGTGAGCAGGGCATTGAGGGCAGGGACGCGAAAAGATGAAACAATATGGATAGGATAAATCGAGTTACCTACAAACCAAGCTTCATGCAGTAGGGAGAAGCAAGACCACAAATGTGATGCCTATCCCCCAAGGGCTAAGTGGTCAAAGGATATAGCCATTGTAACGACATACATTTTTTTCTTTTTTTTGAACAATCTTTAAATAGATGGTTGAGCTTCACTTTTCCTTTGATCCAAACTAAGATGGGCTCAAAACTGGTAAACAATCTTTTAACTGTTTGTTCCTTTCAACTGATGTTTGTTCCACTCATCACCAGCATTGTCCCTTTTTGTTTCCTTGTAAGCAAAGCTTTGTTAGAAGGTTCATAAACAGAAAGACATCGCTGTCCATGTATTCAAAGCCCGCAACAACAGGTATAGTAAACAAGATTTACACAAATGGAAATGATCAAATTATCTTGAGACGTCAAGAATGAACACTATCTCAAAGACATCACGTCTCCGAAAATGGCTGTTGTCAAAAACTATTAAAGAACGAGTCAATTGCAGTACTCATTTATCCCCAAACAGACTCCTTTAATCAGCTTCGTCTAATCCTCATCATTCTTACTTCCAAACACGCCTCCTAAATCTCAAAACCACTTCACGTACACACATCGTCCTCTCCTGTGGCCAAAATGAACGTCGCCGAGCCCTACATCTGCATCCCGGGAGTGCCCAACTTCCGTGACATCGGCGGCTACCCCATCACCTCGGACAAGAACAAGCAAGTCCGGCGAAACGTCGTCTTCCGCTCCGCTCTTCCGCGCCACATTCTGGACGACGGATCAGAGAGAGCAAAGAATAAGCTGCAGACGCTCGGTATCAATCAAGTGTTTGATTTGCGCTCAGAAAACGAATTCCTCGAGGTGCGAGCTTATGATTGGAGAAAATGGCTCTGGTCGGAAATGCATCGAGTATCGGCGCCCGTATTCCGGCCTGAAGAATATAATGCTGATCTTTTGGCTGATCAATATATGGAGAGTGGCTGTGGTCCTGAGGTATGTCCGATATTGAACTCTTTGTCAATGATATGGCAGTGGAAGTGTGGCTCTTCATACTCCCCAGCATATTGCTACACCAAAAACATACTGATTACTTGATTCTAGGGATTCGCTCAAACATTTACCAAAATTCTTGAGTCAGCAAGCCATCCCGAGAACAAAGCTCGGCCATTTGCACAGATTCTCGAGCTTCTGTCTCAGCCGCCCACGCAGCCCATGCTTATACACTGCGATCTGGGCATGGACAGAACAGCAGTAATCTGCGCCTTGGTCTTATCGCTCTGCGGCGTCAGCGATGAGGATGTGGCCAAGGATTATCATCAATCGGAGATGGAACTTGCTGCCCATCTAGAGAAGCTTGCCGCGGAGTTCAGGTCACACTCCGTGTTTAAATACGTCAGAGGCACTGCGGACGATGCAAAGACTTTGTTTTCATTACGGTGAGTAACTCTCTTGAATTCATTACAATGTCAATACCAATCGAGTCTCTGGCTTACTTTTTTTGTTCAAGGGAGGATAACATGCTACGCTTTCTAGAGTCTCTCAGAAAGAAGCATGGCTCGATTGCACAATGTATCAAGGATCACAAGTTGCTCGACGATGAGGGCATATCGAGACTGAAGAATAACATGATTGTCGATGCCGCCACTAATCAATCTACTGCTAGTAAGTCGAGACACCTGAGCTTCTCTCGTATTTAATGATGATGGATTTTGCTAATGTTGGACTGTTTGTGTAAAGGGGTATGGGATAAGAAATAAAGATAGCAGTCGAAGTATTACAGTGTAAAGGCAGCTTCTTGGTTTAACATATGTAGCTGTTGGTTTGATCACACCATGGACTTAAATGTATTAGCCTTATCACCTAGTAGGACAGACTGCTGCCTACGCCTGACACATGACGTGAAAAAGTATAGAGACAACGTTACTTTGGTCATGAAATATTACCCTTCATAGAATCTTCATCTAACATACACCTTATCATTTGCTTTTCGAAGTCTAAGATCGCTAAATAAATATATAGCGTTTCAGTTTTACTCAGCCTAGAAAGCCACTCATGGCTACCTCTCAACATCTCTTAAATCACAAAGTCATCGGCACCAGACAGCCAGATAAAACCTACACCGATCGCAAATCCACTCGTATCGTGGCTCTCAGATCTTCAGGAGAAGTTGCCATAATTCACGTCAAAGTAGGAGACTACTACAAACTGCCAGGCGGCGGTATCGAGGCGAACGAGAGCCACTCCGACGCTGCTCTGCGCGAGGTCAAAGAAGAAACTGGAGCAGTGGTAGCTTTGCACGGCGATTATTTTGCTACGACGGAAGAGTTTCGCTTCCATCTTCATCAGATGTCTTATTGTTATTTGGCCGATGTGCTCGATGACGCTGGGGAGCCGTGTTTGACGGACGAGGAGCTTGCTGATGGGTTTACTTGTCATTGGATGGATACATACAAGGCCATGGAGATGATGGTTGCAGCGGCACCAACCACAGAATTTGGCTGTTTCATCAAAGAGCGGGATACGTATGTCCTCGCCGTGGCTGCTAAGATCATTGAAGCAAGACAGGGCTAAAAATCTAGAACACGGAGCAGACACTTTCAGACACCTTCAGACACTTGCTTTACACTTCAAAGATCAAGAAACTTTGTAGCGGCCAGCTTATATATACATTCACAATTACAGTATGAATGAACCTATATTTTTTTATAATGAATCTAAATAGCGCTTGAATGTTCCCAGTCTCTCATAAAACTCCTGCTATTTCCATAAATGGGCAGTCCCAATGTCCACAAATCCGCCATAAGAATAGTAGAGTGATAACGCCAGCGCCAAGGCATAAATTCCCAAATATGATCCCAATAAAGAAAACGCTTAAACGTTCTTGTTGAATCTAAGCCTCCAAGCCTCCTTGTTCGCGAGATCGTTGTACGAAAAAATATCCTCGTCCGGTGCTATTGTCGAATTAGCTCTGACAGGCATCTTTTTGTTAGATGTAAAAGCTGTGTGCAAATCGCGTCCGTATTGCTTCGCAATAGACACTCCAAATCCAGCAACCTCTCCTGCGTAGTTTTTCATCGTAAGCATTCTCCAATAGTTTTAATTTTTAGAATATGCCACTTACCCAAACTGACGAGCATGAGGTTTCTCGTTGCAGAAGGAGGCAGTCCATATGATCCGACAACCAAAGAGGTGAGAGGACAGAATATATAAGGCCACCAAGAACCCAAACCGAGGCTATTGTAGATGGAAGTTCGAAGGGTAGTTGCCGATGAAGAAGCTGAATCCAAGATATCTATTAGATTCGAAGCTGTCTGCTGGGCATGAACCAGTCGTTCTTGATGGCCTTCATGCTGAACCAGTAGAGAATCGGCCAATCCTTCAAGCCTCTTCATATTCTGCCAATTCTTGTCAGCTATCCCTCATTAATTGCCAACTTGAACAACGCTGCTCAACTTACTGTCTCTATTTTCTCTTGCCTCAATGCAACAGCTGCCGCTATGGATTGTGAAACTTCCTACCCAATTGCGGTCAGTGAATACATGTTAGATAGGGAAAGAAAGATGCCTTACAATTTCTCTATGTAAAGATGTTGATGAGGTCACTGCTGCAGCGAGTGCAGATAGGATAATATCCACTTCGGTGGTAATTCGCTGCGTGGCCTCTTGTAAAGCAGACTCGTGTGAAGATACCAGGTCATGGTTCTGCGTTTGTGTCGCGTCGACTAACATTGCGAGTAGTATCTGTAAGTTTCTGGCGTCTTCGAGTCCGTGGTTGATAAAATCCGTCGACCGCTACCTATGCTGTTAGTGACCTGAGTCTAATATTGCTTGCGAAAAATATACCTGAACTTTTTGAACAATCTGTTCTCTGAAAAACGTATCAAGTTCAGTAAAGCCATTTTTCAAGTCATTCATCTGGGGCTTGAGGTTGGCCGTGGCAGTTTCGACTTCTTGAAACATTTGATTGAGTGATCGAAATCGCTCCCCCATCTCTTCTTCGAGTTGGGTAGTCAGCCTCGCGAGGATGTCAACTAGTCTTTGGTGAACCCGGACATTTTGATCTAAAACCGGATTAGCCAACACTTCTTTCTTACTCAATAGGCTGCTCGTATATATCTACCCTTTTCATTGTCTGCACGAGCGGCCTCACAAAATCGTAATGTTTTATGGTGATAGCTCACCCAGGTGTTCCATGCCGAATCTGACTGTGCCAGGCCTTCGAGGCAGTCATCAATCTCCGCTGTCGTTACATGCAGCTGTGGCTTAGTCTGTGGAGCGATTCGTGCGAGAGTTGACTCTTGAAACTTGGAACAAACAGGCGGAATAGCGAAGCTACCTCTTTCTAGGTCACATATAGCTAAGCTTGCGGCATATGAGTCCACAAAGTCGCGAGCAGCTCTTCCACTATCAGTCAAGATTGTTTCATCATCTCGTCCGTCGAGTAACTGGCAGTTGTTGACCAATAGACGAGCTGCAATACGGTGGCATAGAGGCTCTGATTCTAATTCTTGCAGCTCATCGAGCGCCATAGAATACATTGCAGGCAATTTTGAGGATTCGAAGCCAGGAGTGCTAGCTGAATGCTCTCTAGAGGACGATGGGCCTATAGAACTGCCGTGTCCTAGACCCAGGTTAGCGACGCTTTGCATAAACAGAGGCAGGTACAACTCGCTATTAACCCTCTTACTACCACCCCATGAAAAACCTTGCACTCCATGAGAAAGAATTAGAGCGATATGGAAACTCCAAAGAACAAACGCCAGAGCTGGTGCCATCTTTCACCGGCCAGCAACGGAGCCGACTGTGTCTCGCAGACGATGGTCTATAAACGCAAAAAGCGCCGCGAACCGAAATAATTGAAGCCTTAGGTCCAATCACAGATAGAATCCTCGCTCGAGATGGGCCTTATTATAAGTGTGAAGTTGTGGGAAGAATGCTAGGAAGTAGTTCGCATGAGAAGTTTTCGGCGATATATGCGGTGATAAGTCCCGTGGGCTGCAGATGGCCCGTATTGTTTGTGCATGGATGCCGATTATTTTTCTCTCAATTGGTTCTGTTTGCGTGTTTGACAACTCTGGTTTTCTACGCAAATCATGGTGGGAATAAGGAGAAGGCAGATGGACGTGGAAAATTCTGGCAATGGTGATTCATCGAGCTCGTGATTGCCGCTTTTCGACCTCGCCAGTTGTACCTGCTGCATGCAAACGGGTGCACAACGGGCCGCCGCTTCCATTCCTTCATTTGCATAACCTCATTAGTAGCGTTATAGGCAATGATTGTGAGTAAGAGGTGCAGCTCCTTAAACTTTACAATATTATTTCATCACCAGCGTTCACGTCAACATCTTGAACGCTGAACAAAACTCGGTCTCACCAGCCATGAACCTACTTGGCCATTTACTCAGTCACTACATCACTATTCTGAGCCGATTCAAACTCTCAGCTTCCTCTGCCCTTGGTTTGACGATGACCTCAGGGAAATATTTCGGCTCCAAAATATGAACAGGCATCACCCGATCATTCTTCTTGGGAACAGAAATGCTACCGCCCCCAGGTGCGACCAAATCGACTGCATGGATGATCATGGCTGCAAACATGAGAATCTCGTTGGTCGCAAAGTCACGGCCAGGGCACAATGTCTTGCCACCACCAAATCCACGAAATGCCGCGGGATGAAACCCATCACTCCTGCTCTTTTCTTTTAGAAACCTGCCTGGGTTAAACTCTTCAGCATCTTGGCCCCATATCGACCTGTTAGCATGGATAACGCCCCCAGAGATCTGCACAACAGCACCCTTTTTCAAGAAGTATCGATCAGCCAGCATCGTGTCCTCCTTGATCATGCGGACAGAGAAATTCTCCGATCCGATGCGCAGGCTTTCCCTATAAACAGCAACGAGCGTTGGACATGTTTCTTTAACCACTCCAATGCTCAGCGAGTCCGGACCTGTGCGTTGGCTACTGAGCTCCAACGCCTGGCGGATCTCCTGGCGCGTCTCGGCGAGAAGCTTTGCATCCGCAAATATTCGTAATATTGACCAGAACGTTGTGGTTGTCGTATTTACGATACCAGCAAAAAGAAAAGACAGGGCTGAACGAGCCGTCATGTCTGTGCTCATGCCATATTCTTTTTCTATTCGGGCTCTACCCCTTGCAATTAACGATGCTGAATCCAGATGGCCAGCTTCCAAATACCTGCAGAACGCAGCAGACAGCTTCTCTCGGCCGCTATACGCTTTGGGTGCTATGACGGATGGCAATATTCCGATAAGCAACCCAGCAAGTCCGTGATCAAATGCCCAAAAAGCATGCTCCAAGTCGGGGTCCTCGGCAATGGGATTATGGGGTCCAAAGAGATATTTCGCCGTACCAACGGTTACCATGTGCCGAGTCCAGACCAAAATATCAATAGGCTGAGGGGCATCAGCAGCCTTGTCAAGGGAGCCAATTCTTTCACGTAGCTGGAGACAGAGTTCCTGCGCAGCTTCACAGCTCAGCTTATTTACATATTCACCCGGTCCAAGGGAGGTATACACCCAGTCATGGATGTCAGCAAAGAATCCGCGTGGCTCGCCCGGTTCTGGATCCAGGTTTGTGCCAATTACATTATAGGTCCTCTCGTCAAGCCCAAGCACCCGCTGGGTTATCTCTGGCAGCAGAGGTGACATGGATAATGTCTTGGTATTGCGCTGAACGCTAGCGGCCAATGACGGCTCCGTCACGACATAAATTCGAGATCCCGGCACAGGCAAAGTCAGGATGGGCTCTTCGGGGTAAGACAATCTAGCAGATATTAGCCCAATGTCTCACATCTCCTGAGAGTCTAGATTCAATTCTAACCCAAGCTGTTTGATATATCGGCCACCATGCAGCGCCATGCCCATCAAATGGCCTATGAGAGGAACCCATGGCTGGATAACTATTGGCTCGCTTGGATGCAGCTTTTTCCCCGACGTGTAGCGGAGGATGAAGGCCAGAGACAGAAAGCCAGCGGTAACAGTGGCGATAGTGCCTAAACTGATGGGCCACGGCTCAGTATCAAACAGCGCCATCATTTATACCAACGCTGGGCTGGTCTGTGCAGATTATCCGATCAGGAGACGCTGATGATCAAAGAAACCAGCGATCAATGGAGTAGATGAATACATCTGGTGTTTCTTTCAGATGATGATTTGTTTGTATATCTGCACTTCATCTTGGAGTTGATGGACGTTGCAGTCGAAACAAGGCGGGGTTGCATCTTACGGGAGTGTTACGGAATCGGATACCCAGTCTATATAATTGGCTAGCTGCCAATTCCTACAGGCTGCCCCGACGGGACGTTTCCTCGCTAGTAATGGCTTCGCCGAGCATACAGACCTGATCTCTATGATTGGTTCCCCGAAGCATTTGACAAGATGTGCTGATGAACAACCTCCAGCGCTTGTGGAAGAAGAAAGCTTACGGTTGTCCTAGAGAAGAAACTCACCGGGAGGGGTTCTGTTCATCCTTGATGACTAACTTGAGGTTTCTAAGCGGTAGCAGGATTCGATTCCTTCATTCAACAAGCCAATGTTCCATCTGGAGAAATATCACACCACGATCCCTGTATTCTCTATACGCCGTATCCGGTATGAAAGCGAGTATGACTGGTCATTGTGATGAGTGGGGGTGGGATATGGCTCAAATTAATAGAAGTGGAGGTGAGGCGAGGCCCTGATGGTAATAGTCTCCGCGGCATGCCTGTAAACCCTGCCTCACCGAAGTTCTCTCTTTTCTCCGCTTTTGCATTTCTTCTTTTTCTCTCTCACATGCGCTCTTCCTTGGGAGGCGTAGAGGGTACTATTCTTTTCCCTCGGGTCTTCAGAAGCTCTATTCAGCGTGCGACATGTGCCGTTAGGAGGTAGGGGGTCGCTTAAGGGCAATGAGCACAAACCCCTGAACCATTCTATGAAGCAGCAACGAAGCCCTATCAAATCATGAACGTCACGATCACGATCACGATCACGAGAGCATTTTGCGGCGAGAGAAGAAGCAATCTAGGCTTTGACCTGCCGAGATGAGAAGAGGACACGTGAAGGGAAAACAAAGAACGACCAAAAACAGAAAATCAATTCCATGACTATTCCCGACCGCCTCTCCCTAGCGTACAAACGAGAACAAGCTTGATTGCTAGTGCGGAAGCTCAACATCTCCCCACTACTGCTGGATAAACTCGGAGCTGAGGCCATATTGCTCCGGCCCGGTGTGGACGGCCACAACGCCGGGACGGAGCCGGATTTTCGGAGGGAAATGTGTACACAGGTGGATAAGCAGTGGTCTTGTGGCCACGTCGGCTACTTTCAGATCCGGTGGTGTGAGCGGTTGTTCAAGGGGTGCAAGGGGACGTCAGCTGCTCACGATATCATCTATCAACTCGAGGAATGCAGCGACTGTCTCCGGCGCAAAAGTCTCCCCAAGCCATTTACCTCCAAATAAGCTGTCTTCATAACAGTTGACGGCTCTGGTTGGCTGGCTGGCTGGCTCCTCCTCGGTGTAGTAACGAGGAGCCAGAAGCCAATTTCAAAAAAAACCCCCAGAAAAAAAATTGATGTTGTCTCAGCCTGACTACGTCTATCGGCTGCCACAGATCGGAGATTTGGGCAAATTTGAGAAGTCGACTTGCATACCGGCATCAGCATAGTTCAAACTGCAAGCGATGGAAGAATGATGATTTTTTACAGCTATTTTTTCGGAGTTCGAGAGCGATAGAGATGTCTTTGAGGAATTCAGCAATACCAGCCCTCGTCTTGAAAAGGGCAATATACAAAACTGTTGCCATATTAGGCACCACATAAACTACTTGTTCATAGCGTTGACTTATTATAGAACCATAATTCAGACTGTTCTACATAGAAGCCGGGCAAAGTCACGATTCATCCAGCTCAGCAGCTCCAAACCCAAGCTAAGGAAGAGCTAGACTTGGTGCAACGCCCGCGAATGAGATCTGGATATCTGGCAGATGGGCCGTTGAAGTTATCTGACAGCTCAATGCAGCAGACTGTGAAAAAATTGCAGTAATAGTGCCGGGCTTGGCCTTTTCAAGAAAATTCCGTGGCACTTTATGGAGAACGTTCATGGTCCTTGTCTCGGCCATCAACTTTGATATTCTCCCCTGAAAGATGGACTTGGCATAGGAGGTGATTTCCCTTGGATGTGAAACAAATCAGATACTAACAGACCAAATGGTTGTCCAGAGAGAAAGCATCTGGGCATGGGTGTCAATGCAGTGTTGATGGTATATTCGGCGCTGATATCCTGAGGCTTCGACAAGATAGGCATCAATAATTGGGACATCGCTAACACTCTGCAGCCTGTGCTTTGTTGTCTCTCCTTTTCCTCTCTTGGTTGGACGAAATTGCGGAGAATGATTGCCGAATCCATGGGAATATACAGCACGAACGGAGCCCGGGCAATGGGAGGAAAAGAGGCAGTCACATAATGGCGATTCGCGCAGCTCTGGACCATTGGAGTGGTGTTGTGGAGAGTGTTACAGTAGTCGCTAATGCCAGCCGTGCCCATTCGTGCATCTGAGAAGGCAACGGACCAATTGAGCGTCAAACCGCATCGAGGCATACTCCCGGCATGTGAGTTGGCTCTGGACAATTGAGTTTTGACAGAAAGTCTCGGAGATGCCTTGGAGATCGACCCAGACGGCGCATGAAAGCAGAAAACATTGCATCAATCAATAGCCGCCAACCAGAGTAGTGTCACATGGCCCCGTGTCGGATAGAGTAGCTGGTGCTCGCTCAGAGATGCCCTTGGCCGTCACGCTGCATTGTGTTACTGCTCAGCTCTTTGGGCTTAATCGCCACAGGCGAGGCGAGCTTCGCGGTTTGGGGCTAGTTTTTGGCCTTTTTGCCTGGGGATTTTTCTGGCTTGGACCTCGACGACCACCCCGTAAAGCACATGCAAGCAGCTGCGTTTATATATCCCTTAGGGGGGGTTCGTTGGTCGCAGTTGTCCAGTGTCAGCAGTGGATGGGCCCATCTTAGCGACTGATGGCATCCCTAACGTTGCTCTTCTTGATCGATGGTGGCGAGACCTGGGGATATCAGAGCATATCGCCAACGACCACAGCAGCCGCCAGAAATACTTAAGAACGCAGATTCCCCGGGGACCTGAGATGCGAGAGGATCGCGGAGAAGGGGAGCCGTCGCGACGAGTTTGCGAGAATGGCGCCGGCGCAGAGGCAGAGGCCGTCACCATCGCCTGATCTGAATGTTTGGCCACTTTTTATTATATTCCCCGAAGGGCCAAAGTCGTGCCACTCCTTGGCCTAACTGGGTAGCAATAAGCTGCGATACCGAGGCGCCGAGCGCGGGAGGGCGAGTGGCCAATCAGATGCCGGCGGCGGCGCCTCTGCTGCTCCCTTGGCCCTGCGCATCGTACGATGTCTGGATCTCTGCCCAGCGGTTTTTGGTTTTTCTTCGCACATGCATGGCATCCATCCATGGCGCAGGGTCCCTCCAGGAGGAGCCCCAGGCCGCGTCTGGACCGCCCGGCGCCTCGTTGGCTGCCCCTCCGCGCAGCAAAAGTCAGGCCATTTTCATCAACGTCCACAGCAGCTGCGAAAAGGCTATCTTGGGGCACTCGCAATTCAGAATTTTCCGCCGCGCTGCTGCAATTCGCCATCTGCCTGGCGCATACCCGCAGTGACTGGTCATGTTGGCTCACTTTGCAGCGCCTCGATCCCGGCTCTCGCCGAGCACAAGTCGCTCGCCATCAGCCTGTGGACAGTGAAGCCAAAGGGTTCAGCTACTGATTCCGGCTCCAGAGCAGCTCCGTAGGGGACCTGTAGGGGATCTGTAGGGCAGAGCCGGGAGCCAGAGCCACGGGAAGCGCCCCAGAGGAGATTGATGACATCCATGGATGGGAAAAGGGCCAAAGCCGCTGGGAGCAGTCAGTGCTGGACGACGCATCTGCAAGCGTTTTGGCCTCGCTTGCATGGCCTGACTGCTCTTCTGCCATATCCACCACCGCCAGCCGCGGGTCCTAGCGCGCCCAGGGCCTGGACGAGAGCAAATCGGTTCCTGGAGCGGCATCCTCGTACTGTAGCAGTGCTGATGATGGGCTTGCGGTCGGTTTTGGCGTTGCAGCGCCGTTGTGCTCAGTGCAGGCTTCGGAAGGGCTGCCGTCGTCGCGGCGTTGCCCGACAGAGGCTCCCGGAGCTGGGCTGGGGACTGGAGGGTACCTTGATGTAATGCCATGCTGAAACTTGCCGACCCCGTATATTACCATTGCTATGCCTGCTCTGAAGCTCTGCGCACGGCACGGGGGCCCTTTTGCACGTCGTCGACCTAAATCCGCATCAAATCCATATCAATCTCCCTGGCTTGCTTGTACATCTACGGATGCCACGCCTGTGCTCCTAACCTTTGCTCGCCATATACTCAACTCATACTCTCTACCTCTACCACTACTATTACTTTGCATAGGTATTACTTTGCATAGGTACTACTACCTATCTGTCCATTTTCCATTGTCTGCTGCATCCCGCGGAGCTGTGCTCGTCGTCGACCTCTTCTATCCCGGTCCGAGCCATCATTCACCAGCGCCCCCTTGAGTTCGGCCTCCAGGTACCGAGCGCCACCACGAAGCAGGCCTTCTGATATTACTTCTACTTGGACAAGTTACTGTTCAGCCCTTCTCCCACGCCGTGACCCCCTCCATCCATCCATCGCAACCAGATTTCTGCAGCGGCTGCACGGCGCAAGTGCCTGATAACTGACGCCGCACGCCGTGCCGATCTGCGGCTGCCATTGGCCTCTCGGCGCGCATCTCTCACGCCACTTGTAGGGTTCCATTGATCCCAGCAGTTCGTTAGAGTCTGTTGCATCCGGCCGTTGCGCTGGGCATGGAACAGGCCCTCGACTATACTTCGCATCCCAGCCGCCGCGTCCTCAGTCTGCCGGAACGACACCTCAGCTCCTCAACCTCAGTCCAGCCATCGCCTCCACAGAACCCGACCATGGACATGTTTAACTTCTCAACCGCAGCCTCGTCCTCGGCAATACCTTCATATGCCCCGGTGGCC